TATATAGCTAGAGGGTACTATCTTTCTTCTTTATAAAGAGGATTAATACTTTTATTACTAACTTTAACTCCTAGATCTACCCCTTTATAAGCATTATCTAAAGATACTTATAAAGTATTATTAATTCTGCTAAAAAAGAATTATAAAAAGATCTAAAGGGTGGTTATTTCTCTTCCTTTAGATCTATCTTTAGATCTATATCTTTATAGTATAATAATAATTCCTAAGCCTTCTTCTCTAAGAAGACTATATAAAAGTCTATAAGCTAGTCTAATATAGAGTTCTTATCTTCTACTACCTTCTATAGGGTTTCTATAACTTATACTATTATAATTACTATATCTTCTACTTCTATAAACTCTTCTACTAAGACTAAGTAAATTTATAGAGCTAACTCTATACTGAAGATTACTCTATCTTCTCTCTAAAGAATTATAGGATTATACTACTTTAACTATAGCATCCCTAAGATAATATAATTTATATCTAGAGATACTACTATAAGCTCTATAAAGAGCTACTTTATTTTATTATTATCTCTAACTAGGATAGTAGCTTCTACTACTCCTTTATTTCTTATTTCTTATAAGGTTAATATCTCTATAAAGACCTACTATAGTAGGGTATACTAGTTATTTTCCTTAGCTAGTATTATAGGGATAAGATTAACTAAGCTTCTATTATTAACTAGTATTTATAAGACTAGGTCCTCCCCCTTCTCTTCTATCTAAGTCTAAAGAAATATACTTAGATAGAAGAGTAAGAGTCTATAATACTCTTTATTCTACTCTTTAGTAATAATAATAGTAACTAGTTATTTAGCCTTTATAGGGCCCTCCTATTTAGGCTTACTTAGGTAGTATCTTATAATATATTCTTTCTTATTATAATTAAAGTAGATCTATAAGGTGCTAGAGGTATAAGACTATAGGCCTTACTTTTTTATAAATAGTATAATTATAGTAGGTCCTATTATCTCTATCTTCTTAATAATAATATAGTCTATAAAGGGCTTCCCTAAGTTTCTAGAGCCTTAATAATCCTTATCTTTATATAAGGAATCCTAATAAGTATTCTATTCTATACTTAAATATAATCTTATAAGTAGAGAGACTATCTCTTTCTTAGATTTTAGGAACTCTAAATATTTATAAATCTTCTACTTAAATACTATAGAGAAGAACTTAAAGAAGAGGTATAATTATACTTTCTTTATATTCTTTATATTATCTCTAATTTTAATCTATTACTTATACTACCTCTATTAGTATATATAATCTATTTCTCTTTTATAAGACCTTATCTAAAATATTTATAATTATGCTTCCTACTTATAATTCTCTAGATTATTTAATTATAATTCTAGGAAAATATAGAAATCTTTCTACTCTTAATTATAAAAGTTCTTAGATATCTTACTCTACTAAAGGTTAGAGAGAATATAGTCTAGATAGATTATTATAATCCTAGTATACTTCTCCTTATCCTAGCTATTAGCTTTTATAGTAGACTCTTAGCTTATGATAAAGGCTTAATATATTATATAATTATAGGTTAAGTATCTCTTAGACTTAGGTAAGGATTAGATTTAGATATTAATCTTCTTTATAGATAGTAAGGATAATTCCTTTTATTCTTAGCTTTATAGGTACTTTTTAAGGCCTATACCTAGATTATTATAAAGTTTCTGAATTTCTTATAGAAGCTATAGTTCCTATTATAAATACTCTTTTATAGAGGTTACCCCTATTAACTTTAGGTCTACTAGAATAGAAGAGTCTTATAAACCTAGCTTACTCTTAGAGTCTTCCTCTTTATAGGCTATCTCTTTTCCTACTATTTAACTTTATATAGTTATAGAGGAGGATTTACTAGATAGTTCTAGTCTAACTAACTCCTTTTATAATACTATTTTCCTAATAGACTAGTTTAAAAGTTTAAGTAATAAAATATAAGGATTTATAATCTATAAGAATTAGAAACTAGTATAAAAGAAGAATAATTATAAATAGATTTAAATATAGATATCTTTATTTAAAGAGATTATTACTAAACTCTAAAGTTTAGTAGTTATAGGCAGGGTTTATATCTTTATAGGTTATATAACTATTTATATAATCTCTTATAAGGAGCCTTCTCATCATTAGGTTCCTCTGCAAAGGTAGCTTTAATATAATACATAATAGACCTTCGCAAACCTTACATCACATGAGCCATACCCCATACATGTGACCACCAAGACCATTAATAAGTATTTATAGCTCATGCAACCTAAAATATTACTATACTATCTTATCTGAAATCTAAATACTTATATTATTTTATCTAAAAATCAAATATAGAGTACTTTAATAAACTTAAGAAATCTTAAAGTTAACTACTTTCTAAGTACTTAAAAACCTAAGTACTTAGAAATTACTTATTATTTATTTTTTTATTTATATAGAAAAAATATAATATGAAGTAACTTATTATACTTATAAAAGATAATAGATATTATTATTTTAAGTACTTAGAAATTACTTATTAACTATTTAATAAGTACTTTCTAAGTACTTACTAAGTAGTTAATATAATTATCTTTTACTATAGTTATTAATATATATATCTTTAGTAGAGAGAGTAATATACTTATTTAATATAGATTATAAAAAACCTAATTTTAAGTACTTTCTAAGTACTTACTAAGTAGTTATGATAATTATTTTTTACTATAGCTATTATAATATATATTTTTAGTAGAGAGAGTAATATACTTATTTAATATAGATTATTAAAAATAATTTTAAGTACTTTCTAAGTAATTTCTAAGTACTTAAAAATTATTTATATACTTATCTTTTAAAATAAATTCTAAGTACTTTCTAAGTACTTAGGTTTTTAAGTACTTAGAAAGTAGTTAACTTTAAGATCTCTTAAGTTTATTAGAGTATTTAATTTAGTAAAATAACAGAAAGGATAGTGCAAGCTAAAATCTGTTTTAGTATAGTAAAGGATAGTGTAAGTATTATATGACTTATTCTTATAATTTATAGATTTACCACTCACCAGAGTAAAATTATGAGCTCATCCGACCTGCAACCACGTTCAAACTTCAAAGCCTGGTTATGTCAGCAGCCTGATATCATGGAGGTCTTGGTCATGTGGTATGGAGTATACCCACACTAATGCCTGAGGCAGAGATCTCCCCCCCCCTTCCCCCCCACTCTCCCGTCATGCCAGAGTTAATGAATAACAGACTGAGAGTCTGAGTGGAATGAAATGAGAGTTCATGAAACAAGAGTTAGTTAGTTCATCATGTCCCTCCAAATGAACCTATCAATAAGGATATTGTTGACCATGCCATACTTGCTGGCTCACAGAACAGAACAAATCATGATCACCCCATTTCACAAGCCCTGAGCTTGCCAATGGCATTGGGCCTGTTTGATGGCATCATCCACATTACAGTTTATGGTTCTTGGAGGTTTGAAAGAATATAGGTAATATATATAAAGTATAGAATATAGATAAAATACCCCACATTTACAGTACACGCGATTGATGCCCAACGCATTGCATGGCGACAGGGGGTTGGCTGTCAGTTTGCGGAGAGCTAGCTCGCATTCATCTGGATAGATAGATCATAGATAGATAGATAGATCGAAAAACAAAGGGGTAATTATGCACGACTTACGTAGGTGTAAGGCAGTGTCAGACGAGAGTTTTGAAGTGAGATTTCCATGGATACAGTAGACTTTTTTTAAAAAAAAAGATGGACGGGTTCCTTGTGTTCCTGAGAAACTCTAAGCGGCCATGAACGATAGACTGTATAAGCTTCTTTAGTCCCGGGGGCTTTAGGCGGGCCCGTCCCCTTGGAGCGCGTTCTTTGCTCTCTAGTCACCTAGTGAGGGTCCTTTAGGTACCTCAGTGCTTAGAGTTGGACTTGGATTACTGTATGATTGTATCACTCTTGCTGCTTAACTTCTTCTGGTTTGTCACTTGAGGATCACTCCATCTCTCAAACTTATTTTTAGTACCAAGGCTACAGGCCTACATAACAGTACAACTCTAGTCTACAAGGCATCCAGGAACTGGCTCTCAGGTTCAAAGGCTATGTAGTCTTAAGCCTCAAAGGTGATCGCATGTCATCCCCAATCTCTCTCTATTCTTGTAGATCCCTCAGGGTAATAAGGTACCGATTACCGAATCGTTCTGCCTCTCTAGAACTGATCAACAAGTGCTGACCTCCAAAAAGATAATAGTAATAATAATAATAATAATATGTCATTCCAAGAAGCATTCCAGAACACTTCGTTGTTGTTCCAAATTAGTCTCTCCATCTGCCTTAGCAAAGCAAATCTTATCCTTCCCACTTTTTAACTTAACAACGGGTCCAGAATCCAGATCTTATCCTATCCTTATCAAATTCTCCCCCTTTCCCGCGAGAACTCAGCCCGTCGCAACGACAAGCAACTCACGGACCAGCCTTGGTGTTTGTTCTTCGTTCCTTCGGTCGCGTGTTCTAGTTACCTGCGAACAAATTTTTCATCGCCTCTTTTCTTCTGGCGCTCACTGTAACCCCCTCCCCCAGAGAAATAGATAAAGAAAGAGAAGGGGACAACATATGAAAGAAAAAGAAAAATAAAAAAGGAAAACGAGCAGCCGCCGACCGCTGCCGAGGCCGTCAGGTGGTCCGACCCCCAACTTCGTTCAGGATCATCATAATTATAGTCATCATCATCATCGTCCCGCCGCAGAGTCACAAGCTGCGCGTTATCCGTTCGTCGTCCTTCCCGATATCTCCCATTTCCGCATCATCTTTCCGCCCGAAGGAAATTCCGTCTTAACCTTCCATCCTTCTGCTTCCTGCTAATCTGCGCATTCCCTTTGTCAAGCTCTGGGACAAGGTAGCGGCCGTCCTCTCTCTCCGCGCTTTTTGTGGCAGTTCTCGCGCCGGCACACTCGTTCCTGAGCTGTCTCCGGTCTGAAGAGACGCCACCTCTCCTTTCTGTCACATCATGGCGTTGGACTTACAACCACCCAACGATCGGAAACGGGTCAAGGTCTACGAGCTGAGGGATAACGACTGGTTTGATCGAGGGACTGGATTCTGCATGGGACAGATTCTCGATGTAAGTTTCTGTTACCGCCGCGCGACAGCGTCACCCGATCATCGGCGCGAAGGCCCTGTGGGCCTTCGCGCTTCGACGATTCTTCGAGAAGCACGACTGACATCGCGTTTTCTGTTCACAGGACGAACCGCGGATATTCGTTCAGTCGGAAGATGAACCCAGTCGTGTACTACTGGAGACGAGAATCTCCAAAGATGACGGCTACCAAAAACAACAAGGTACGCCCCCCCCTCGCCTATATACAAGCCTACCATCGCACGCCACCTTGGAGCAGGAGGAATTATCAGACTAATGCTCGTGCGCATCAACCAGAGACCTTGATCGTATGGACGGAACCCAATGGAACAGACATGGCATTGAGTTTTCAGGAAGCGGAGGGCTGCGCGGCAATCTGGTAAAGCATTCTTGCAATGCCTACCGTCCCACCTTTTTCTCTCTGACAGACAACCAGGAATTTCGTGCATAATGTCCAGCAACATCTACACAGCTTGGCAGCTGCAGGTCCGTTCACTTCATTCCACCCGTGACAGACCACACCCATAGCTCCGTGTGCGGTGACTTACTGTGGCTTCAATTGCGATTAGATGACGCCTTATCCGATGACCTTGAAAACTACCAGTCAATCATGTTGCCTCCCCCCGAGCTCGGTAACCTCCTGGAAATCGATCATGTCATGAGAGCCGCGAGTATCACGCAAGCCGGTCGCGATGCGCTGTCGAAATTTGTCATCCGCGACGGGTACATCCCGAAGCTGATACCGCTGGTCACCATGGCGGAGGACTTGGAGAGTCTCCCGGACCTGCATCGCCTCTGCAATATCATGAAATCGCTTATTCTACTCAACGACAACACCATCATTGAGACTGTGGTTACAGATGATATTATCTTGGGAGTGGTAGGAGCGTTGGAATGTGCGTGACTCCATTTTTTTTTTCTCGGGCTCGTGCGAAGGACACGATTGACTAATGATTCTCCAGACGATCCCGATTTCCCTACCCACAAAGCCAATCACCGTCAATACCTCGCAGATCAGACCCGTTACAAGGAAGTCGTTCCCATCAAAGATCCTCTTATCCGCCGCAAAATCCGTTACACCTGGCGCTTGCAATACTTGAAGGACGTCGTGTTGGCTAGGATTCTGGATGACCCAACTTTCTCGGTCCTCAATTCTCTGATCTTTTTCAATCAGGTTGAGATTGTGAATCACATCCAGTCGAACGGGCCCTTCTTGAAAGAACTCTTCTCGGTCTTCGATCCGCGCAACGCAGATCTGAGGCGCAAAGATGACGCTGTGCAGTTCCTCCATCAGTGCGCAGGAATTGCGAAGAACCTACAAGCGCCAGCACGCGCCACTCTGTTTGCGAACTTCATCAACCATGGTCTTTTCGCCGTGATTGCATTCGCCATCAAGCACCCCAATCCGGCCATGCGCACGACAGGAGTTGATCTCCTCGTCGCCCTCCTCGATCACGATCCCATTATGATGCGCGGATATATGCTCAAGGCCGTCAACGAAAAGAAAACACCTCTCACCGATACCCTCATCGACCTTCTCCACGCTGAATCCGATCTTGGCGTGAAGAATCAGCTTGCAGACGCCATCAAAGTTCTGCTGGATCCGCAAATCCCTCTGCCAGATACCATGGGTCGGGCTGGTCCCGACTATTTCTCCAAGTTTCGCCCTAACATCCTCTCGGATGCCTTCATGCAGAACCACTTTGATGAATCGGCTAGGAGGCTATTTCTACCCCTTAAACGCCTCGAGGATCGTACAGATGGTAAACCTCCCTCCTTCCGCAGAAGCTACTGGTCAATTAGCCTTCCCCTTACTGACTCTCACTCTCACTTTAGTGAATGACCTTACGTTCCAAGAAGTATCGCTGTATTCACATCTGGTCGACATCCTTACATTTTTTGTTCGCCAACACCTGTACCGAAGTCGCAATGTCATTCATAGCGAGTCTCTTGCTCCCCGGATCGCCCAGTTACTGAGAATACCTCAAAAGCATCTCAAACTGAGTGAGTTCTACGCTCTATCCCCTCCTTGAAGCCAGGAATCGTCTAACGTCATTTTCTCCTAGCCGCATTGAAATTCTTTCGTACTCTTGTCAGCCTGCAGGACACGTTCTATCAGGCGCTGATGACGCACAACAACACTTTTGGGCTGATCTTGGATATTGTTCACGAAACGATGCCGCGTGACAATCTACTCAATTCAGCATGCCTGGAACTTTTCGAGTTCATCAAGCGCGAGAACATCAAACCGATCGTCCTCCACGTCGTTGAGAAATATCGTGAAAAGATCAAGGACATCACCTACGTTGACACATTCCAAAGCCTAATTCTCCGCTATGAGCAAATGCAGGGATATGGCGCAGAAGCCGACACAACGCTTTTATCGCAAGAAGAGGAAGCTCGAAGGACGCAAGCGAACGGCCAACGCTGGCAAGGGGTGAGGGAGATGGATGCTGCCGAGGAAGAATACTTCAACACATCTGACGACGAAGAAGAGGTAATAGCTCCCACGAGGATGGAGGGTTTTGTACATGCTAACTCCTGTTCTCAGTGGCAGCAAGACAGCCGGAGAGATAGTGCGCTGGCAGTCAACGCGCAGAATGGCGCCGCCTCGCCGCCTGTAAAACCCCTGGTCGATTACCCAGACGATGACGAGGACGAAGATGCTATGGATACTAAACCAGAATCCGAGCAAGCGCCACAGGAGGAAGAAACGCATTCCGAATCTTCCTTGGAGACGGCGTCAACCCCGGTGTTGCTTGCAATACAGACTCCTCCAGAACGATTATCAGAGAAGCGTCGGCGTGAAGAGGAGGATGATGATGAGCTGGTCAAGCTCACTTCTGGGCCGAAGCGAAGAAGCTCCGTAAGTAGCAACTCCAGTAGTGCTAGTCTTTTTCGAAGAAAGCGAGGCATGTCAGTTGGGACTCTTTCCGCCACGGACAAGGGATCAGCCCAGAACCTACCGAGCAGCGGCGGTGCTAGTGCAGCGCCTAAACGGATAGCCATCAATATTGGCTCGGCAGTCAAATCATCTGCTCTAGAGACCGAGTCAAGTGAGTCTGCCGCAACAGATGCAAACAACGAGAAAGAAAATCGGGCCGAGAACCCGAATGAGGACGGTTGAGGACACCTTTCTTGTCTAGGTCCGTCTCCTTTCTGGCAGTGATGATTATAAACTCGTCTTTCTTTTTCGCTTGAGCGTCATGCTTGCTTTTCAAGCCACCGTATCATTTGTCTGTTTTGTTTTCATGAGTGCTCAAATTAGAGATACCAGATGCCCGCGATAATCCTCTTCTTGCCCGCTTTTCTCCGTTTCGAATTGTTTCTTTTAACCATCATGTTCCATTGTATCCTTTTCCTCCTCTTCTCTTTTCTTTGATACATTTGTTTATATCTTTGGTGGTATCCTTAGACTTCGTCTGTTCACTGTTTGTTATTTTTCGGAGATCATGACACTCCGTGTCACCTTAACCCGTGTCTAATCCTGGCTGGTTTGACTTCGATCTAACAGATAGTGTGCCTTTTGGTTGTTTGATGATATCACGGAGTTGTCTTTCCGCTTGACTGTTTTTGTCTCCTCTCATGTGCGTGTGCAGGTTGATTTGACCATGGTCGGCGAAAATAGGGATTGAAAGTCAAATGAATGTATCAGCACATATTGTTCGCTGTTCCCCTGGGCGTTTCGAAATCTGCAATGCGCTGCGGATTCTATTGTTTCTTTTCTTTTCTTTTTCTTTCCTTTCCTCTGTCTCTGGGGCTCTTCACAATCTCTTGTTCACTTGGGGGGAGTCTCGGGCTGGACGAAAATGAAATGCAATGAATGGGTGTATGTACATCTCAGGCTGGGAAATGGAATTGTTTTTATAGGCTTTTTATAGGCCGTGTCTTGCTTGCTTCTCTATGCCGAGAGATGGCGATAACTGGGTTGATCGAGTATCGACAGATATATGTTTGATGCGTCTCGTGATTCATAGCAAGGGACCGAATAAACCTGCGACATTGTAAGGAAACCATTGAAGTCAATAAGAAATATGTCTTCTAGGTGAAGTTGATCGTTTATCTGGGTCGCATCGAATGATCAAATCGGCTCTTCTCCGTGAAGATCTTCATCCACACGATCACCATCACCATCACCATCTCAAAATGCACGACTAGACTTGGACCTGAGTCAGTTTCAAAGCATGTACCGACATTGAATTGATCGTGATGCGTTGAAGCTGATATTTTCACTTATATTGACTGTACTCCTATTTGATCTCATCCGATGGGAAGTTCAATTGTTCCCCCAATACACCAACAACATCGGCTCAATCGGCGCTCATCCATTCCTGCTGTCTATCATTGTATCATTAATACTCCATGCTCTACAAACACACAACTCGCCGAGTCTACCATACATCACTACGCACCATGTCAGCCCATCACCGACCTCGTATCACACCCGACACCTTTCTTCACACCGTCTCGCTCCCAAACCGCACAGGCCCCATCCAGCCATCTCCCCCCATCACAATATTCCTGATTTCAGGAAACCCTGGCCTAATCAGCTACTACCACACCTTCCTCTCTCTCCTCTCAGAGAAACTAAATCAGAAACTAAAATCACACACCACCAGCCAAGTCCACCCCCCCAGTTTTCAGATCTACGGCCACAGCCTGGGCGGCTTCGCGCTACAGACCCCACAACACCCACACCCGTGCGACTACGACCTCGAAGACCAAATCGGTTATGTCCAGGGTAAACTTGACGAGTTCCTCTCCAGCCCGGAGGGCTGCGGATCCAGTGCTGCTGAAGGTAAGTCCAAGGTGATTCTCATCGGCCACTCTGTGGGCTCGTACATCGCCATGGAGATCCTGCGGCGGCACCGCGAGCGCGCAGCCAGCGCTGCTGCTGCTACTGCTCCTCACGGCTCCACGGCCTCCTTCGACATCATCGGCGGCATCATGCTTTTCCCAACGGTGATGGACATCGCCAAGTCGCCCTCGGGGCGGAAGTTGACGGTGAGTCTTGCACCCGGTGCGGCGCAACTGCCCGGCGGTACACCGCGTGAGAGAAGGAGGGACCCCAAGCCAAGCTGACTCTGTCCTAGCGGTTGCTGTGCGTCGTGCCCCAGCTTGCGCTGGTCGTGGGGTTCCTGGCGCGGGTGCTCGTGGCGCTTCTTCCGGCGTCTTGGCTGCGCGGGCTCATCCGGGTCGTGATGGGCTCGGCGATGCCGGAAAACGCGGTCGAGACGACGGCGGCGTTTGTCCAGAGTAAGACGGGGGTGAGGCAGGCGCTGTGAGTCCCACTGCCTTCGCATTAGCCTTCCGCATCGATATGCACCTGAGCGATTCTTTCGCCACTAACTTGGAGGATAGACACATGGCTGCCGATGAGATGCGTACCATCACCGCGGATAAATGGAGCGACGATGTCTGGGGCGTGTCGACGGCTGATGAGCCGCTGGCGCGGCTGGTCTTCTACTTCGGCCGGAACGACCACTGGGTTGCGGAGCGGACGCGCGACGAGATCATCGAGCTTCGGGGCCGTGTGGAGGGCGGGCCGACGATGCTGGTCTGTGAGGATGGGCTGCCGCATGCATTCTGTCTGAGTGAGTTTTCTTTTCTTCTTGGGTTCTGGGTCTGGTGAGTATGGGTGGCGCTGACACTTGGGTCCCAGGGCATAATGAGGTTATGGCTGGGAAGGTCGCGGACATGGTCATGGATATTGTGTCGGAGTGAGGGTGGGTGCCGTCTTGATAGAATAGATGTAGAGTATTTGTCATAGGCGACCTATAGATCGGAATGGTTCAAGGATTGACTGGCGTCTGCACAAGTTGGGGCCAGGGGGTACTTAGACGGGCTACACTGACCTACACATGCTACGAGTAAATCTATACACTAATAAAACCAGACAGCCTTACCATATTAAGCTTACAAAGGTTCCTCATCATATGGATCGTGAAATAGTTGGGTATCTAAACCGATATAACGCCACCCCTCTCCCATCCTCCCATGCAGGCATAGAAAGAAAACAAACGAGGAATTACTGCGAAAATGCCCTCAGGGATTCCCCTGATACGCCAATCCTGCTCTCCGGAACAAATCCCCCAGGACATCCTGACGCGGCTGCGCTTCCGCCGGCGGCCGCTCCGTCGGGGCGTGCTGCCACTGTGGGAAATCGAGATTGTGCGCATGCACGCTCCATCCGTCGTCCTGCGCTCTCTGCTGACCAAAGAGATCCTTCAACGAGATCTGCCGACCCATCGGGACACTGGAGTGCATTTCATCCGCCGCCGCCTCTGCCGCCGCAGCGGCGACATGGAGCCCGTTCTGGCGCATCGCTTCTACCCGCTCTCGCGCGAGCTTCAGGCTGTGGCCCGCGTGCACTGCGCACTCGCGAATCACCTGGGCGTTGATCGTGCGCGTCTCCGCCGTCGAGTTGGGAGGCGGCTCCGAGTAGATCCAGAGGCCGTAGATGCGCACGTCGGCGGTGTTCGCGGCTTTGTTGGTCATCTGGTTGGTGTTGCTGGTGTTGCTGTTGCTGCTGTTGTTGTTGTTCATGCCTAATTCCACGCCCATGTCGTAGTCAGACTTGATAATGACATATTCCTCCGTAAGCTCCACGTTGTCCCCGTCGGTCAGGAGGATATCGAAGTTGTTGAGCCCCCGGCGGTTGAGCACGAACACGCTGTATCGTTCCTCGCCTAGGCTCCCCTGCACCAGCTGGCAGACAAACAGTGACCCCTCGACACCCGTCTTTTCCCACTGTCGGCTTGTCGGGTTGAACAGGTACACGACTGCATATGGGGCGAGAGACAGGATCGAGTTCACGGAGGGGTTGTGACGGCGGAGGACGGAGAGATTCAGCTCCTCGTTGGAGCGCAGGGGTGGGGGAGGCGCGGGTGCTTCTTGCTGGTCGATCTGTTGCTGCGTGTCGGAGAAGTAGTTTGGATAGTCGGATTCATAGTCGGAGGGTTGCGTGTATTGCTGATTGTTGTTGCGGTGGTTATTGCCATTGCTGCCGTTGTTGGGTCGTCGAGGTCTGCGAGTCGCCATGATGATGTGTCCACCCCCTGTCAGAGCACAGAGCAAGCTTGATCGGGTGTTAAAGACGGTAGAAGAATATTTTAAGAAATGATCAGAATTGAGGATGGAAATTCTTCGAAAGGGGATACAGACGACTGTTGGATGGCGGAACAGCAGTGACGTTGCGGAGAGAAGAAGAATAGTTTAACGAGAGGAAAGAAGCTTTGCTCAATGAACCCCGCGAACAACTTCCGCCCAGCAGCTTCACTTCACTGCCATCTCTGTGGAGAGTTTGGGAGTCAGTTCGGCTGTAATCGAATACTTCTGTTTCTGATTAAACTTCTTACCTTCCAGGATAATTTTGCGATTCAGAATCATAGTTCACCCATCCGAGGGACAGATCGATCGCCTTCCTTCTTGTCTTCGCCTGTCGTCATTCGTACCGACCACTTGCCGCCATTCCACTCTGCGACCTCACTCTTTTCCCTTCGCCAAACCAAAAGTTTCCTCACGTCCTCGCTACAAATCCCAGGATGCTCGGACGAGTCATTGTCTTCTAAAGAATATAAGGTTGCTTCTCCGATACGAGTCCTAATGACCTAGATTCGTCACGCGACGCCCCGGTTGCATCCAAACCTCTTGCGCCTTGTGCCCAGAAATAAAACTCCTTGGGAAAAAGGACCGCTGATTCTCAGTTTCTTACACAAGGAAGAGAATATATTTACACAAAGGGACATTACATTTAAAATTATGCTCGGCGTGTCAATTCTGTGATAAGAATGAGTCTCACCACCGAACAATCGGGGTCGCAACCGCCCGTCTCTTCCATCCCCGGAGGTTATCATAGCGACAATGATAGCAGCTCGTCCAGTCACCACCAAGACTCTTCATATGACCCATTTGCGCTCCCTAAAGCCGTCAGGGCGAGGAAGTCGGAATATACGCGCGAGCAGACATTACGTGTCAAGGTCGGGACCTGGAATGTAGCTGCTATCCAGGGTACAGAAGCAGACCTGGGGAAATGGTTCGTGCAGCGGAAAGGGATATGCGAACATCTTTCAGGGTTACGAATGCAGAACTCGCAAGACTTGCCTGGCGGGACGGACTATGATTCCGAGGATTCTTCAAAGGATCGTGAGCGCCGCCAATCCAAGGGAAAGGAAATCCTTCACATGCCTGCCTATTCCCCGGAAAAGGTGGGGCTCTATGTCCTCGGATTACAGGAGATTGTCGATGTTTCGTCACCAGCGGAGACGTTGAGGCCGTATGTGGACCCGTCAGCGGCAAATAAATGGAAAGCGGCGCTTGAGAAAGCTCTACCGGAGGGATACAAGCTCGTCGCAGAGACTCAGCTGGTCGGGCTCTTGCTTTTGGTATATGCAGCGCCTTACTTGGTAGGAAGTATATCATCGGTCAGCTCCAGCAGTGTGGGTACGGGTCTTTTGGGCTACATGGGCAACAAGGGCGCCGTTACGACGCGGATAATGATTGGCGAGACGACTTGTCTTGCTTTTGTCAACTGCCATATGTCTGCTGGTTCGGACAAGAATAGTCTAGAACGCCGCAACTGGGATGCGGCTCAGATCACTGGACGAACTAGATTTGACCCTATCGATCCCGAGAAGGGTCTGAGGGTGGACCCAACAGACAGCCTCGGGAGGGAGGATTTTGGCTTTTGGTTTGGAGACCTGAACTACAGGCTCGAAGATATCCCAGGTGATGATGTGCGACAAGTGCTTGCGCGGCACACGGAAAATGAATATGATATGAAGCATAGTATGCCGCATGAAGAACCACTCCCAGCATTGACTGATGAGGATGTCAATCCACATACTGATCCAGCTTCACTTCAAACCACAATATCCTCCCTGTTGCCTCACGACCAACTTCGCATACAAAAAGCCAAAAAGAAGGCTTTCCACGACGGTTGGCGAGAAGGCGAAATTTCATTCCTGCCAACGTATAAGTACGATGTAGGCAGTGTGGCCAAGTTTGATTCGAGCGAGAAACAGCGAGGGCCAAGCTGGTGCGATCGAATCTTGTACCGCACACGCCAGGATATTGTGAGATACGAAAAGGCAACCAGGGACGCTGAGGAGGCGAGGAAACGGGATGAAGAAATGAAAGCTCGGGGCTTGGACAAAGCTGCTGCAGATGACAACGTGTTGTTTGACTACGATCCAGACGTTGATGGCGCTGACAGTGGAGACGAATATGATCCTGACAAAGATCACTTGAGCGACAGTGCTTCGGTGTCGTCACATACCACTAAAGACGATACTATTCGGCTGGAATATTATATGTCACATCAAGGCATTCTCTCATCAGATCACAAACCATTAGTTGCTGGCTTTACGATCAAGTATGAAAGTGTCGACCCTCATATGAAAGCCAAGGTGCATCAAGATGTTGTTCGGGAGCTTGATAAGGCTGAGAACGAGTCTCGTCCAAATTTGACAGTCGTAGTTGATACTTATGGAGACGATCTTCAAAAGTCCGAGAGGGACCCCAACGCGGTAGACTTTGGTGATATTCTATTCGATGTGCCTATCACGCGCTCATTGACAGTCGCAAATACTAGCAGCGTGCCAGCGACCTTTCGCTTTGAGAAGCCCGACAGGCAAGGTGACCATCAACGGAGCACGCCATCATGGCTGGAATACAAAGTCGATGTACCCAGCCAGGATGACAAGGGCAAGGACAAAAAAAGGAAATCGGGAGAGCGCACTCTATTCCCGGGTGAACTGGCGAACATCGACATCGCAGCCCACATCCACAACATTGAACATGTTCGTCTACTCAACGATGATGTTGTTAAATTAGAGGACATCCTTGTCCTTCGAGTGGCCAACGGTCGAGATCATTTTATTTCTATCTATGGACGGTGGTTACCCACCTGTTTTGGTCGAAGTGTGGAGGATCTTACCAGAATGCCTGAAGCGGGTGCGCGAAGCCTTCTGGGAAACCCCCCCGCGAAGGAACAAAACGGAGAATCAGGGCGCCTATCGGCTCCGAGGGAGCTATTTCGTCTGACTGAGGCTATCTCAGAGCTTTCCGAGCGTGCTATTGCCGAGTGGGGCATGACAAGGGGCGATTCTGGGGAGGACACGCCACCCTGGCTCAGAGATCATGGGGCCGGATGGCCTTTTGATCCAGAGACTTGGACATTGAAAGACAAGGAACAGAGATTGCCTCTCTTAGCGGCAGTCCGCGAAGCTTTGGACTGTAATAAAGATCTTAACTCTATCTTCGAACCCGAGGTGCCGTCGCTGCACCGGTTAGAAGTCCTGAGTGAAACCTTGCTGGTTTTTCTCGGCTCGCTAAGCGACGGGATCGTCACGGCTGCCGTATGGGAGAAGATGGACCAGCAGATCCTGACTCGGGAGAAGCGGAAGTCGCCTCCCCTTTCCTGGGACGAAACCCAAGCCTGGGTCCTGGAGGAACTCGCATATTCACCCGCCCACAGCGTCTCTTTCACATTCGTCACCTTCATGCTCGCGCACATCGCCAACGAAATCGCCCCGTCCCCATCCACGGCACCGGCGCTCCCCGAACTATCGGGTCGAGAATCCGAAGACAAGAAAAGGGAAAGTATCGACTCTCTGAAGAAAGGCCCCGGCCCCAGTCCATCCGGTACAGCGAACTCCGCCTCGTCAGGTGGCATCCAGCGGCCTCCGCGCGTCTTGACAGCATCCAATCTCTCGAACCTCCAATTCAACGCTGCTCACCGCCGACAAGCGGTCGAGACCACCTTAGCATCGATCTTCGCTTCTGTCCTCATCGTTTCGAAAACGGTGCCGAGTAAAGACAAGGAGCGCCGAGCGCTGGAAGACAGAAAACGTAGTATCATCGAGCCGTTTCTGAAAACGTTCGGCGTGGATAGTCTTGGGCCGTCAGGCGGTGTTCCATGAGGTTCTTATCACTATTGCTCCCCATACTTTGTTTCCGGTTTGATTTTCCCTGCGTTGGTTGTATAATCCATGATTCAAGAGGGATGGTAACATAGAATTCTGTATAGACATTGAGGTCTATTGTATATATTATTATTCAATTGGGTTAGATCAAAGTCTTCACATGTTGTACTCTCTAGAAATACTGCAACTTTCAGCTGTATTGTGTAATGTTAATTGTGTGTCTCTCCCTATTAATATATACTCTAAACTCCAACATCCTTCGAGCACTTCAAGATACCACGTCAATGCTTGGATGTACATAGCAAAACAAATCTTTCCCAGTAAAAACCGAAAACCGGAATTAATCCCTCAGAGGAAACTACACGATCTCCCCATTCGTTCATGATGCCTTGGAAACCCCGGCTTCGAAACCCGCCTATTTGAAATCGGCATTCATAACAACAAATAACAATATGATCGCATCCTGGCTTTGTATGACGGAGTATATGCTCAAAGGAGAGAACGTGCAAATAGAACTGCAAAGAAAGAGGTCATTAAGTCAGGTCTTGAATATGTGTCACGAATCTCCCTATCTGGTACTTTCATTACTGGTACTCCCGAATCGGCGGAAGTCCCTTAGCACCGCCCAAGTCCTGCAGAGGAGCCCTTCTCAGCCGTCTTGGAGGGGTAGATTTCACTTCTCGTGGGGCCTTGCCCTTGGGCGACCGTCGCGGCTTCGCGCCGAGCAAATCCTTGCAGTACTGCAAGCATCGCTTGGAAAGTTGGAATGGAAGAGCGGCCAGGGACATGGAGACTTGGATCGGGAGTAGAATAATAGCATAACCACTATCAAGAAGGCCTGATAGAGCGTCCCATGGGCGACGCGTATTAGAGCGCTGGGCCGAGGCTGCGAGAGCAATCGCATCGTGGACTTGCGTTTCGAGGCCCTGGAGCCTTGATTCCGTCTGGAACGAGATGAGGGCTGTGCGCTTTTCGTAGCGCCGTACCGCGCGGTTGAGCGCTTCGATTTCCGGCTGGAAGCCTTTGCGAATGTCCGTGGTTGCTTGAGAGACTAGTGTCTGGAGATGTTCTTGGTCTTGCGACTGGCTTGATGACTCCGGTGTTGTCCGGGCTGCGGCTGCTTCGGCAACGTGTGCTTCGAGTTCCTCGAGGCGTTTGGTGAGGTCGGTGATCTTACTTGGATCTATCTTCTCTTCGCCGTCTGCTGATGCTGCGACGATACGCTGCAGGTGGAGGGTTCGAGCTTGCACTATCTTCAGCAAGTGGGCAAAGGGACGGATCTCCGCTGCCAACAGGAAAATAGTCAGGTTGTAGTTAGAAACCATGCCTTCGGAGGGCCGTGATAGTTTGGACCGGATGGTATGCAGAAGCCAGGTTCCGATCATGGGAAAGATGAAGCAGGACACGAGAGCGACAAGCTCATGAATCTGGAGCTCCCGACTGGCTGCACTGGCCGCGTCGGAGACTCGTGTTTGCTGTCGAGCTTCTTGCTCCGCAACACCTTCCTTGGGGTCGTGTGCTGCTTGCTCATCATTGGGTTCGGGCTGAAGCGGAGCATAGGCGGCTTCATAATATTGACTTTGTTGTCGAGTCGCTTGAGCAGAGCGATACCAATCCCTAGACTCCCAGTCAGAGGAGCGACCAGACATAGTACAAAAGGGGAGGGTGGGGGGGGTTTAGTCCTTACCATGGCAGTCTCATTGACCAGTTCAGGAAAATAGCAGCCAAGACCAGCAACGTAATATCTGTCACGACCGCACTCCCATTTTGGAAAAACACTCCTGCGATAGCAGGCAATAAAGCCAGGCCAAGAGGCGCCGATTGCCAATGCGATTCCTCGTTTGGCACACCCCAGTCATCTTTTCGAACCACGCGCGGAAACAGCAGATCATCTGTGGAGGAACGGATTGAATTCCGAGCTTCCGAAACCGAACCCGAGAGACTTGAATTGCGACGTTGATTTTGAATCTCGAAAGTGCCCTCTGCAAAAGTCGCAGCTCGTGTTGGGCCTCGATGTCGAAGATCCATTGCAGCAGCAGAGCCGGTAGCGTGGGCGTGGGGTTTGGCGCTATCGTTAGTAGCCTGGGGAGAGCCGGATCTTCGGGCTTGTTCAGACATGGCGGCAGAGGGAATTCCAGCTCAATCTCAAACCATGTGGCTCATACTATATCAACTCAAGGTTCGCGAGGCACAGGTCAGATTCACAACTGAAAGGGCAGCAGAGGAACTGGAATGTATGCCTCTGGTCACTGCAGCCTATTATTATCTGCAGGGACGTCGTGACCTTGGTTTTCAACTTGTAGCGAGCCAAACAATGCGGAGAAGATGGACGCCAGAGGTACGTAATGGAAGCGACACCCATGCGCCACAAAAGGGGGCTGCAAGGGAAAAAGCAACATCAGGAACACAATAAATACTGGGGATGCGAATATTGAGGAAGTAATCCTGCCCCCAAGTACGGACACTTTAGCTGCCTAGCCTGGGATGGCCATCACCCATGTACCTATCCGATCAAACCCGGTACAGACATGCTTCTGCTTTTCCACCGTGATCCGTGTCCACCGTGGTGCTCCCCTTGCTTCGATGTTGATTGAATGCCTCGGAGGTTTAGGCACTTTGCGACCATGCCACGATGTAACTCGAGGTCAATTTTTTTGGTCGTCCAAGCTTCGGAGTTGCGATTCACTGGACCATGGGGGCCATGGACGGGTATCATTCTTGACCAAACACCCATTTGGGTCTGAAAATCTCCCTTATCCTGGTGTGGTTCTTGTTGTTCCCTGGATCAAGTAGTCAACGGAAATGTTAGCCAGACCATGACTACCAACTTGTGAGATGGTTGAGAGACCACTAATCTTACCCTGCTCATGAAAGAAACTCAAAGTGACGAGTCCTTTCCTATTTGACTTGCTGTGGTGATCCCCCAAACGGAGGGCAGTTCTGGGTGTTCTCACGAGGGGTCTCCAACCCGCATGTCCACCTCGACGTGGTCCTGGCGCAAACATTCCTCCCCATGGCACAAGATGCACTCGGATACATATTGTGAAACCCAAGACAGCATCTCTTGGTGACCACTGCATACCAAGATGAAAAAGAACCTTGAAATCGGGCCAGAAGCGATGTGCCTCCGTCGGTTGTGTTGGAGATGGGCGAACAGCGGGCTTATTGATACCCAAAAGGGGAATGGTCCGGGTCTCTGGTGATTGATACTTTGATACTCCAGCAACTCCCAACACCATCGTTGTGAGACGGCAAGAAACACATTCTGTTCGACCTTATCCTCACCATTCTTTATTCAAGCGAATCGTCCCTCAATAGCCGGGTGATGACAACTGCTCAAGGTGCAGTAGGCCGCGAGAGACCTGTCCACTCTGCAGAATGTGGGATAAGCTCATTGACGGGAACTGCAAGCTTCCAAACGCCCCTCAATGTCGGCTAAACACATTTAATTTTTTCTCCCCCTGCTGTCAATCTGCTTGTGATCATAAATTGTTTATTCTCTCTCTGTGTTGAGTTGATCTGAATCGATTGTCTCAACAGAGGGGGCAGAGGAATGAAAGCTGATGGCACTCTGCAATCACTCCTGCTCAAATTCCTCATCCTCAATAAGACAGACATCTACTTCTTCTGTCTTGGGATGTCTCTCTCGCTCTCTGTCTCTCCGTCCCTCTCTCCTGAGATCTTCCTTCATGAACTCTGGGGTCTGTTCTTCTTAACAGGGCGGTGCTGGCTCATTGCTCCTGAATCGGTTGCTGAGAACTTTAAGTCTTACCTCTCAAAATCTCTACCTCTCCGAGAGAGTTACGGAGAAATACTCTCAGAGAAGGACTAGGTGACTCGATTAGTCTCTGTACATCTTTAAGCAAGCATTGGTGTTTGAAATACATCCAGCTGTGATGGATTCGCCGACGACAGGACGTTCCACTCAGGCAGCGGCTATTCCCGTGCTAGCTCTCATTGCCATCATCGTTAGTATTCCTCCCATTGTGTTGCACTGGAAGAACCGCAACTTCCCGGCCACGTCTCTTATTTGCTGGTTCTTGATCCTCAACGTTTTCAACTTCATCAATGCCCTTATATGGCAAACGGACGACCTCGAGTCATGGTGGGATGGACAAGGCCTGTGTGATGTGGAAGTTAAAGTCATGATCGCTAGCTATGTTGCCGTTCCGGGGGCGTTGGCGTGTATCTTCAGGAGCTTGACTTCTGTGCTGGACACCAGACGTGCTATGCTTGTCCCCTCCAAGAGTCAGCGATGGCGGAATCGTATCATGGATTCTCTGTTCTGTGTGATTATCCCTGTAATCGCCATGATTACACACATCGTTTACCAAAAGTCCCGATACATGCTCTTTGGTATCTCAGGATGTGTCAACAACTTCGATGAGAGTTGGGTGAGCCTGGTGCTAGCATTCATCTGGCCCCCAATAGTCTGTGTTCTTGCTGCTTACTATTGCGGTATGATCTCCTCCATTCCCACCGGTTGCCTCGCCTAGTACTGATGACCAACAGGCATGACGCTTTATCGTCTTCATAAATATCGGAGTCAATTCGGGGAGATACTCAGTTCCGCGAACAGCCACCTGAACAAATCAAGGTTCCTGCGACTGTTCTTTCTTGCATTCGTCATGCTCTTGACCATTCTCCCAATGCAGGCGTTCGTCCTCTATCAGAACATTCTATTGTCATTGCCGTGGCACTCTTATTCATGGAGTTCCCTCCATGGACCAGAGTGGAATACTATCATCAAAGTTCCGTCGAATGGCCAGGCATTCTTTGACCGCTGGATTCCAATCGCTGCGGGCTATGTGCTCTTTATCTTCTTTGGATGTTGCAGGGATGCTTTCCGGCTGTACGGATCTATTCTGTGCTTTCTTGGCCTAGGCGGACGTTTTGCTGCTCTTCGCTCCTCGCCGCACGCAACGGGATCTAGTGGTGGAGGATCGACAACGAGCCGTGCAAGGCTACTCTTCTCCAAATAGTGGCCATCGTCAGTGAGGTTAAAATCTCTTCCGCTCTTTTTAGCAGCTTGCCATAAGCAATACTAATACCAGGATAGAACATTCGACGACTCTGCGCCTAGTAGATCAGCCAGCCAGAACTACGCAGATATCGAAAAGGGTACCATCTTCCCACGAAACAACCAAGGCTCAAAAAGGTCATTCTGGCTCTCACTTCGATGGACTTTCTTGGGCCGCAGATTCCATTCCGCTCGCGAGAGGGCACCCTCGCCTCCCAAGCTGTCTATCCCAGCGACAACGGTATCTACGAGCGCCTGGGCCGGCACGAGCCAAAGCCGTGGAAGTGGTGATTTCTCGAGCACCCCTGTCAAACCTGATTTTATTCGTGTCAAGCAAGTCATTAGCCAAGAGAGTGAGACGAAGCGGGGAGATTCGATTGCCGCCCAAATTAGCATTTAAGCTATGATGCCCTACATGGAGTATGTTGCGCATGCTGCTTAACCTGCCGATGTGCTGGCTTGCCTTGCACATGACAAAGCCAGAAGCCATTTCTCTTCGTGCTCCCTAGCATTGTCTCGTGTCTCTCCATCAATATTTAGTTGACTATACCTTAATTTGTTTGCTTCGAGTGTTCCTAACTCTCTACTTCATTAATGCATGACATATCTACAACAGGCGTCAATATTTTAACTATATATTTATCCTCATTGGTTGCATCTTGCATTGGAGGCAAAGAGCAATGACTGTGCGAACCTTACCATCGTCGTTGGGAAGCTCAAGACCATGCCCCATGTGAGGCTCGGAGGAGACGCCTCGACTACTGCCGAGAAACATAATTGATGAACAAAAGAAGTGTCATCCAAGGGTATACTGGCACATATAATAGCTACAATACAGACAAGGCAAAAGATAACGGAACCAACTGTCAGCTTCACCGACAATGCGGAGATCTTGGATAAAGACAAAGAGAGGCCAGTATATCTCAACACCAACACAGAACCTTATTCAATCGTACACTCCTTCCTTCTCACTCATAGCCCCTTTGAAGCTCCTCACTGGGAGGAACCTTCAGATCCAGCGGACTCGGGGTTATATGGGCGCTTGAGGACCTCGAGCGTCCCTGTTCCGAGGTCATTAGTATAATCTTACTCGAGGTACCGGCCAAGTAGCAACTTACGTTGAACGATGCCCAGATTGGAGTGTTTCCTGCCTTCAGCGTCCTCAAACATGCGCATGGTGGCGTCACCCTCGACGTACACCAGGGTTCTAGAGACAAAAAATATTGTCAGTTAATCAACTCTACTGCTTTTCACAAACCCAAGGACCATGCCGCAACCGCATCAAGCAGACAATCTCAGAAAGAGGCTTCACTCACCCCTTGGGCAGATTCAGAATGAAATCCCGCTGGGGACCTTCCGGCTGGAAGCTGGACACGCGGAACCAGCTGATCTGCCGGTTCTCCCGGGAACCGTAGGACGAGGCCACCGCATATTTGATGACTTCCTGGCCTGTCGAGGTGGCGTGTAGCTCGGGCTCGGCAGCAAGGCGGCCAGTGATGATCATACGTGCGATTGAACGGGGCGAGGAGGTGGTGAAGGTGCGCGCGGAGCGAGCTGTGCCGGAGGAAGCGCGCAGGAAGGGGCGGAGTGACAAGCTGAAGGCAGACATTTTGTTCCGGTAAGGTAGGGGATTCTTGGATTGAAGCTTCAATAAGCAGATTTCGAGTGGAAAATAGATCAGGAGGGTCTTAATAATAGCAGCGGGAATGATGATGTTTTGCCAATGGCCAGGTTAGCTGTCTGCCGAAGACAACGCGTCCGGTATCGTCACGTGATGCATCCCCTCGCAGTTCCAACTGGTTTGTTTTGCTTCTAAGCTTCATTGTTCATACTTCCAGATTCATCTCCACAGAGAACGAATTGACAATGCTCAAAGGTTGTGCTCTGGAGCATTACAAAGAAGCTTGGACTACCACTGATCGCGTGATCGCTCAACAGACCTTAATCTACAGTTGCTTGAGCACGAAATCAAGTCTCAAGTAATGATCGTACATCGGTGATTTGATATTTACTCAATGAAGGACTACATTCGCCAAGGAACAGTTAGTCGCTTCCATTGCGCTTCCAGTCTGTGAGACATCAGTTCAAGGCATGCTAAGTACTCGAATCATGCTCGTGAAGGGAGCACTGGAGGAGCGCACGAATGCATCAGCTCCGCCCTTTCACAGTTCTGATCTTGCATTAATCGTGCAGCCAAATATTGTTGTATTGCCTTGGATCCTGCAAATCTCGCTCCCTATTCCACTTTTTTTTTGCGCTCACCGGTTCCTTGGACCTTGGAAGTCACTAGGGAAAGCAAGTTACTAGCATCGAATTGTCAAGCGAAGTTGCAGGGAAGAACATAACAGAATGAGTCGGGGTCTCAGGGAAGACCTCTGGCCGTCAACTTCCAGCTCGGAAATTAAACAGATTCCCACCATCCACTAAGAAGAGCCATAGGGCGAACTGCCTGGTCATGGGCGGACAGTTTATCGCGCCGTCAGCTCGGTGGCTGTTTTGGTATTGACTTCTGTGCTCTGAGCGCTGAGTGTTATACCTAATCGGTGTCAAAGATCAGACCTATCACTCGACGATGGAGATCATTCAAACAACCCCAAACTAATGCTGCCGAGTGAGACTAGTCGATCAAAAAAGCTGAAGATCAAGTCGCGCTCAATCCTCAACTCAAAATTTAAATACTAAAAAGTCTATCCTAGCTTAGCTCTCGCTAGTTGCCGAGGCAGACTCATCTGTATTCTGTTGACGTTGACTGATACGGTGACACTGCATCCCAGGTTGAATATGACCAATCGACCTATCATCTACAATCTGAGACCGATATTGAAGGTGTTCTTGCTTATTCTGACTGCCCAATGTTGGGTTGCTTTTCATCAACATGTCTTTCTGTTCACTTTTGTATCGGGTGCTTTATACGCGCGCTGCTAGGACTTCATACCACAACTGCAGCAGGTCTTTTCGACATCAAGTCGTGCTAACATTTGCTTGATGGCTCCCGTTGCTGAAAATACACTCTTGAGGTGCTTCTATCGACTCATGAGGGCCAAGTAATCTTCCTTGCAGGTTACCTAAACCTACTTCCAGGAAAAGTCATCTTGAAGCTGTTTTCCATGGATCTCTGCACTTGACCGCTGGCAAGGGCATGGCTCATACGTGGCTCGGTGACCATTGGTTTGTTGCATTCGCGAGATAAAAATCGCGAATCCCTGCGGAAACTTTCAATGATCATGCATGGCTTTGCCGTGCTGCAAAGCTCTTTGCTTTTTCCTTGAATTACATCCAGTGGAGCTGCGCGCGTTTCCATGCATCTCCGGAGTGGTCTGCTGTCCAGCAGAGTTCGTTTGAAAGCTCGGGTATCCGATTCTGGAGTCCATCCCTACTCGAGGTCCTTTCAAGTTCTATTGATTGTGCCGCGACAAATGAACTTTCCTTTGTATTTCCCGCGGGGTCATGGAGAATTTCTAATACGTTGTTTTCTTGTGCTTGTGCCAACACATATATGTGAGAGCAGATTCAGGTCCACTCCAGCCATCCAATTTTTCCAAAGACGGGGCTCACGTTTTGTTCAATTCATACGTTCTGATTCTACTTTGGCGGCTGTCTGCCCTACATTTCAATCTCTATTGCGACTTGCGTTGCGAATTATGTGAACAGGACTCATCTACGCTAACCCTAGGCTATTTGTTGCTTTCCCTAGTCCGCTTGCTTGGGGCTTCAACAACACATCTTGTCCATTGTCTTGAGCATCTCATCCATCTTGCAACAGCCCTGTCAAGATGAGGTTGCTGCCATTGCTTGCGTTGGCCATCTCGCTCATACCTAGCGCCCTTGTCCTTGCGGCATCAATACCTCATGTTGCGCGCAACCAGGTTCATGGGGTTGTTCTCTTAGGAGCAAGAGATGAAACAGCAACTCCATTGACATCAAGTGATCACTCGGCAGCGAGTATAGTGAGTAATGGCACGGTTACGGTCAACTCTACTTCTACTTCAAACACGACTGCCCCGGCGTCAACGACTATCGCATCGCTCAACACGTCAAATGTATCAGACAGTGGGTAAAACTCCTCCATGACAAAGCAAGTGCGGCTAAAAAATGAACAGATGGAACAGTCACGCCTGCACCTGGAGACCTCCCCCTACAGCCTCGGGTCACTCCGGCGCTTGGAGTGGGCGGCATTGTGCTCATAGCCACAGGTGCTATTCTTGCCCTGATAGGGATACGCAATCTATGGTAGAGCTCGTATCCTTTCAAAGATAGGTATCGTGCACTAACGTTCGAAACTAGGATCCAAGTCTTTTTGTCGGCTGCCTTCTTGACAAGTTTAGGAGTCACGGTAAGTTCGTTGATTTACGACCCTGCCTAAAGAAGTGATTCCCTCATCCGCTAATCCGCTAGGTCTTGATTGCATATGTCATGAATCCCCCTGTACGCGTTGCGATACAAGGTGCCTATCTTGTCGCTATCTTCTTCACAGGGGTGACATTCGGAGCACTCTCAATTGTGTTCAAGGAGTTAACCGAAGGCCTTGGCTGCTTACTGGGAGGCTTCTGTACCAGCATGTGGCTACTTTGTCTGAAGCCAGGTGGTCTTCTCGCAGGGACCAACGCCAAATCCGGGTTCATCGGCGCCATCTCGGTTGCATTCTATGCCTTGTCTTTTAGTCATTATACTCGTCCTTACGGGTTGATTGCGTCGACCGGAGTGGCGGGAGGAACTGCTGTCGCTTTAGGGATTGATTGCTATAGCCGAGCTGGGCTGAAAGAATTTTGGCTGTATCTGTGGGGTACGTGAAGCACTTTCATAACTATTGTTGTTTACTAACCTACGCAGCGCTTAATGATGACATCTTCCCGCTTGGTACTGGAAGTTATCCCATCACTCGCAACATCCGGGTCGAGCTGGCCATCATCGTCATCATTGCCATCCTCGGGGTTGTGTCCCAACTCAGGCTATGGAAACTGATCAGAGAGCGCCGGCGCAAAGAAGACGAAATCCGGGATGAAGAAGGAAGGAAGAACGAAGAGGCCGAGGCCGAAGTTTGCCGCAGATTAGAGGAGAACAATCAGCGGGAGAGAGAGGAATGGGAGGCGCGATACGGCAACTCTGAAAAGAAGGATATCCCCGAGCTTGGTGACAATACACAATGTCCCGCGGACAAGGTTGATCTCGAGAAGGGCAACGCAACCGAGATTAGGAGCATCTCAGGCTCTTCTCAGGTCTCGTATCGCTGCTCTGACTGTAGACACAGGGAAGGCAGTGAGGATTCATTTTCAGAAGCGTCTGGAGCCACCGATGACCCTAGAGCTTCTCAGCATGTGAATAATCCGGACGGAACCACCGGTCAAGTGGGCCCCAGTCAATTCAGGGTCTTCGACGGGGCAGCTGCGGCAAAGCTAAAAAATGGCGGGGACTCTGATGTAACTGCCACAGTTGGCTCAGAGGGAGGAACGGTGAGCTCGAAACACTTTTTTGGCCAGACCCTCCAAAAAAAGATATCTATCCAGAGCAGCCTCAGACCTGCACGGTCACAAGAAGCTCATACGGACGATGATTCTACCTTGTCGGTCGAAGGTACTAAGGACGAGAACAAAGACGGAATTGGCCACACCGGCGATGAGGCTGCAGGCCTTGACAAACGAAGGCAAGCGTCGCAAGAAGAAAGAGACGCCTGGGGACTTGCCGCAGGCCGAGAAATTGCTGAAACTTGGGGAGGAGTTGAAAATACAACTGCCCCAGGGTGTGCGCCAACTGGGAGAGGGGAGAAGGGAACGCCTGCTGTCAGGATGTTGGAGAAGCCTGTGAGCATGGATGATCTACGAACTGCTAGGCCCAAGCCGATAGAGGAGGGCTCAGGCGAGCACGGAAAATTGACGGCACATGATGAAGGAGCTCCTTTCTCATCAAATCGCAATAAGAATGAGGGGACTGAAGCGCTAGCCATAAAAGAGGCAGATCTCAGGGATAACTCACAAACACCGCCAACGACTAGCGTCGAAAAACAAAATAGCGAGAATGCGCTGCTACAAGATGCGCACGGCATTTCAAAGAAGCCCAGCCTAGGAGAGTCGCAAGATACAAACTCGTCAAAAACAACTCCAGGGAAGGGTGGCATCCAGAAACGGGCAGATGAAGAAATTGAGAGGAAGCAATCCTCATCAACGGAATCCAAGGCAAAGAAAAGGAGAAAGGAAAAGGCCAAACTGGACGCCCATACTGTGAAACGACTGCCGGAGCGGACATCGACTGTAGTCCAATCATACCGCACAAATGAATGGGCCAAGCATTTATGTGATGCCGAGATACCTGCACCAGAGCCAATTGCACCAATAGTGGAGGAATCGCCCGAGAACCCCGTCGAGGCTGGAGAAGTCCCTGCACCCGTCAACGTAAAGCAACTATTGCAGACACCTCTCACTGCCGAACCAGCACCTGCGGTCGAGTCCCGTGTCTCGTCGAGGAAGGAGCAGCAAAATGCAGACGATGGCCGCCGGATGTCTCATGACTCCAAACCGCGTCTGGTCTTGGGAATAAGCTCGCCGAATGTAGAAGAGTCTCAGGCAGGCTTCCCATTCGGCGGTGTTCCTTTGGTAGGGGCGCAAGTCGTCCTGTCCTCCAGTGCTCTTCCTAGCCCAGGGTCCAACAGTGCCATGCGCACCCTCTCGGGGCCCGCTGCCGAACTGCCGCGAGAGGATCAAGAGGTCACCAAGCCAAAGTGGAAAGGACCACCTCCGCTGCTGGCTCTTCGAGAAGATATGATGCGATCTCGGGTCTCCTCCACTTTCCTCAGCCTCGATCCATGGGCATCACGAAATAGCTCACGACATTCGATGGTACTGGACTCGTCGACTCCGATCTCCCCTAGCATTTCAAATCCAGACGAAGGTGATGACGTGCCACTTTCCCGTCGCCGTGCGATGCTCCATCAACAGGGAAATCTTAGCGCACGCACGAGCGTCCCGACTCCGTCGCCAAGATGGAGTCACCCGAGCGCAATCGGAGCTGACAACGCCCAGATGGTAATGGCCGCGTGGAGGGAGTCTATTCGGGAAGATTTGGAAGACAAACGGAACCCTCTAGCGAGGCAAGATGTTCCACTGGGCGGGACGGGAGCGGGCCACCGCACTTCGTCGCCCCCCTTGGGTCAACCTGGGCGGAACTCCTCATCAATGAGCCTCAATCTTGACCAGGCGATTGCGGACAAGGTGCAGCGCGGAGGCATGACTGAGTTGCATCGAGACGCTATGCGGCGCATGCAAGCCAAAGCCAACCAGAATGCCAGTGGATAGTAGATGAGTCTTGAAACGGTCTTTCTTTTCTTCTATTAATTTATTTAATTTTTTTTCCCCCTCCCCTTTTTACTTGCATTTTTCCTTTGATTTTACCAACGGATTTGAAAAGGATCTCCGGTCTTCCGGAACTGCGTCATGGGCTGCTCCGTGCAGGGCCACGTTCTAGGCCTGTTGTTTCAGCGTTACCCGTGGTTTTTGATGGATCCGCATAGTTATCGGCCTGGTGTTTCTCGTAAATAGGTAGATAGATAGCTAGATAATGTTTAGTTCCCTCCAGAATGGCCTGTGTTATGAGTCAATTCACGAATCAGAAACGGGATGGGCACAAATGCACCAAGTATTTGTCGTAATCTCCCATGTTGAAACGGAGGCTTGGAGGTCCTGGGGTGGTGCTCCTGATCTCCCACGCCTGAACTAGCAAGAGAGGGCTCGAGGAAGGGTGAAAAAAAAAAGTACCCCTTTAGACCCCATCCGTGTTAGTCACCGGGTTATAGCGAGATATAGAAGCCTAGAAAGAGAGTATCTAGTACGGAGTAGATAGTAGCGAGTCGATCAGGCCGAGCAATCCGACTGGCCAAATATAGTAGCAAATCCAGGGGCACAGGGCAGCTGACAGTCTGTGATGATGAATTTTTCTGTAGCTCTCTTTTTTTTTTTTTGGTCAGCGACACTGATAGATGATCTGAAGTGGTGAGAGTCTACAAGGACAGTATGTTGTACTTGTATGCTATGAGTTATGTGGGTGGAGGAGTGATACCTGTAGGAGCCTGATACTCTTGCACAGTTGCACTTCTGATCAGTCTGGACTCTGGAGAAGAGAGTTTGAAACAGCTATCCGCAATTGTCTCTCATGATGGTTGATGAACTTAATGATCATGAGTGGAATGACAACCCATGTTAATAAAGAACAGTGCTATAGGAGAGCTAGAGAGTTAGATGCTAGAGCCATCGCTTGGGAAGTTGGGTATCTACAAGAGAGAAAAGGAAGAAAGAAAGGGAAAAAAAAAAATCAAAATCGATTTCTTGGATGATGAAGTGAAGCGAATTGAGTGAGCCTTGCGTGGGCTATTGAGTATTGGATCGACTTTGTCACTATTTATTATCGCTATCCACCTTGTTTGATCTTGGTCGGGTAATATTATTAAGTATCCAGCTGTCGCATTCGTCTTTCTTTCTCTTTTCCTTCCCTTTTCCCCTTCGATATCATTCTGATTTCTGTCGGTTCGGTGTTCTGCTGCAGGCCTTGTCCATTGACTGTGTACCATTAGATTTCACTACCACCGTCTTCGAACCTGCTCGAGTCACACACACACACACACTACATGCGAACAGAGAGCTATTTTAGATCTATATTCCTCTTCCTCTCTCTCTCTCTCTCTCTCTCTCTATCTGACCTATTCGTCCATCAACCGCACTCTTCAATAGTAGTTATCAAGACTACTACTATAACTACTAACTAATGTCAGCTCGGGCCTTCAATGTCCCCTGCCTCGCCCCTTTCTGAGTCTCGTCCGCCAATAACAACCACCATCTCGACGGCTGCCTCCACCTTTCATCTGCACCTCATCTCTCCTCCTCCATCATCATCATACTTCTTCTTCTTGTCCTCCCTACGATCGTCATTAATAGTAATATTATTACTCCCATCAAGGGCGCTCCTCCAACGGCCCTGCTGCCGTCCTCTCCCCCCCTATCGCCTGTTGCTTAGGCCCTTGTTTCAAAAACGGCGTCCTCATCCGCCTTGGACTATCCACACCTTCTATCATCGTCCGAGGCTGAAGAGATTTCCGGCTACCGCCTCTACCGTCATCATTCGCCCACTTCGCTCGAGTCCGATCGCCGCGCCTCATCGATCTTATTGCCACCATCGACGGGCCACTCCAGCCAAACCTCCCAGAAGAAGCCCTTTCTTCGACAGAAACAGTTTCAGCAACGACCGCATTCCTTCCTAACCACCACCACCACCACCATCCTTCGGCCTCCTGCAGTCCGGCTTGCCAATCCGGTCAACCACGTCCCTCGCATCACACCGGTCACAGTCCCGCATCCGCTGCAGATTTCCGACGAGCACCTGCCGCTCGACGGGCACCGTGACGCGTATCCGCTCCTGACCATCCCCGAACGTCGTCGCAGCCGACTCGCATCATCCCCGAATAGCTTGACGGTAGAGCGCAGCCAGGGGGAGACTGAGAGTGGGCGCTCCAGCATCGCAGTCCCTCGAGGGCAGAGGCGCAGTGGTACCTTTGACCGACACCTGGCTCTGAGGGAAATGTCCGAACCGGCGGGAGATAACAACAATGCTTCGCACGAGGGAAAAGATCTCCGGCCGCCGGAGCGAGCCCATGTAGCCCGGGATGCGTTCGTTGAACGACCGGGACCGTTGCCCGAGGACCATCCGCGCCATGTCCAGTCCCAGGTCTCTCTGCGATCGCACTCCCAGATCGCGTCAGTCCCGTCGAATTCTGGTGGGCCGCCCGCAGGTGGGGAGGCCGAAGTTGCGGAGGAGCTGGCTTGGGGCCCAGCCCACCCGTGTTACCCTCACCTGAACCCGCATGTGCCCATTGGATCGCGGGAGTATCTAACCACACGCATTATTCGAATACGACGCGACTGGATGGTCAAGGGCGATCTGGCGCCAACCTTTTCGAATCTGTACCCGGAGATCCTAGATCCGTTATTGCCGGAGCAGGAATTCCGTCGCATCATCGCGACGGTCAACGAGGAGCTCACCAAGGCATTTAATCCGTTCAGCTTCCGCAACCTGGTTGATGGCGCGTTGGGCCTGGTCACGGGCTGGTTATGGGAAGATTTCGGTGCACCGGGCATCAAAAGTCACCTGCAACGGATTGAGATGTGGCTAGACAACTGGAACCGTGAAGTCGGGGCCAAGGATGGGGTATACATTTGGAGCCTACGACGGACAGCTTACATGTCCCTAGACATCCAAATCCCTGATCCGAAAGTCGGTATCATCCCAAGCGAGGGTGCATCACTGCCAGGAACCAGGCCAAGTAGCGGCGCCGGACATGGGTTCTGAAGCGTCACTTGGCTGGCTGAACGATCATCTGATGCCATCTTCCTTTTTCCTTTTTTTTCTTCTCTTCTCTTTCTACATTTAATATTCTTATACCCCCCTTTTAATCATTCTGTGATCTTGCAACGGCCATTTTGCATGATACCTAGCGGAAATGGAGGCGAAACTGGTAACATTGGGCTTTTATATTCTTGGATCCAGCCATCTTTCACGATATCCACGTGCGCAAATCAGACTCTGCGATACTTAATTTTCCTTTTTTTTTTTTTAACTCTGTTTTCTTGAGGATGTTCTCCATACAGACATTCTCTACTTTGTTTATGGATCTTGTCCGTCTGCTGTGGGTATACCGGACGAATAGGCTCAATCTCTGTAGGCTACCGAACCTAACTAGAGCATTTTAATCAATAACAATATCAATGAACAATAGAATCTTCCGGTGGCTCTTCATAAACATCGATTGAATTGTTGCCTGTATAGGAGTTGGAAATCAAACTACGGTGCACGTGCAAGTTATGCATATGCATATTAGTCAGGCAAAAGCTTAGCTAAGGGACATTATTTCCAGACCAACGTTCTAAATGATTTGACAGAGTCACCCAGTAACTGACGGTCAGTAATCAACTCATGAATCCGTAGAGAGTCATTCATGTAGACATTCCTTAGCAGTCTATAGATATTGGTAACACACAACCAACATGGTGGTCGGTCGTTGTTGGACTTGTAGCATACCTACAGTACCTAGTAACCTAGAAGTCCGGACTGGCTGACCAACGAGAGTTCCCCACCTGCCTCCAATCACCCTTTTGAGCTTTCGAGCTTCTCCAGCGATCCCCCCGATCAATTAATTCATCTTTCTCCCCCCCTTCCAGGGCCGTCATCGAGTCGCCCTCCTCTCCCTCTCCCACCCTATTGCAAAATGCTTTCCGGAATCCTAGTCTTCAATCAAAAGGGTGAAAATCTCATCTTCCGCGCTTTTCGCAATGACTGCCGCCCTCGCCTCGCCGACATCTTCCGCATCCAAGTCATCTCCAACCCCCAGGTGCGCTCGCCCATTCTGACGCTGGGATCGACGACGTTCAGCCATGTGAAGCACGAGAATATCTATATTGTGGCAGTGACCAAAAGCAATGCCAATGCGGCGTTGGTGTTTGAGTTCCTATACCGGCTGGTGATGCTGGGGAAGAGCTATTTTGGGAAATTCGACGAGGAGGCCGTGAAGAATAACTTTGTCCTGATCTATGAATTGCTGGACGGTGAGTTGCCTCATCAATGAACCCCATGGATGGAGGGGGGCGAAGGCTGCCAGATCAGCGGGTGTTGACAGCAGCAGAAATCCTCGACTTCGGATACCCGCAGAACACCGACTCGGACACGCTGAAGATGTACATCACGACGGAAGGGGTCAAGTCCGCAATCGCCAACTCACCGACGGACTCGAGCCGAATCACAATGCAAGCGACCGGGGCGCTCTCCTGGCGCCGCGCAGACGTCAAATACCGCAAGAATGAGGCGTTTGTGGACGTCATCGAGGACGTGAACCTGCTCATGTCGGCGACTGGCACCGTCCTGCGCGCCGACGTGACGGGCCAGATTGTCATGCGCGCCTACCTGTCGGGCACGCCCGAGTGCAAGTTCGGCCTTAACGACCGGCTCCTCCTCGACGGCGACTCGGCCACCGCTGCCGGCTTCTCCTCCCCCTCGGCCGGCGGCCGCTCCGGCAGCAAGGCAACCCGCGCCGCCGCCGGCTCCGTCACCCTCGAGGACTGCCAGTTCCACCAATGCGTGAAGCTAGGCCGCTTTGACGCGGACCGGATCATCTCGTTCGTGCCGCCGGACGGCGAGTTCGAGCTGATGCGCTACCGCGCCACGGAGAACGTCAACCTGCCCTTCAAGGTGCACCCGATCGTGCGCGAGGTCGGCACCACCAAGGTCGAGTACAGCGTCGCCATCAAGGCGAACTACAGCTCCAAGCTGTTCGCGACTAACGTCGTCGTCCGCATCCCCACGCCGCTCAACACGGCCAAAATCACCGAGCGCACCAGCCAGGGCCGCGCAAAGTACGAGCCCGAGCAAAACAATATCGTGTGGAAGATCGCGCGCTTCTCCGGCGGCAGCGAGTATGTGCTCACGGCCGAGGCGACGCTCACTAGCATGACGCACCAGAAGACATGGAGCCGCCCGCCGCTGAGTCTGTCGTTTAGCCTGCTCATGTTCACGAGCAGTGGGTTGCTCGTGCGGTACCTCAAAGTGTTTGAGAAGAGTAACTACAGCAGCGTCAAGTGGGTGCGGTATATGACGCGCGCGGGCAGTTATGAGATTCGGTACGCCCTCATTTTTTTCCTTTTATTGATGACTCGATGCTAATACCCAAGCAGATTCTAGTATGCATCTTCCTCTTCAATTTTCTTTCACAGCATTACTCATTGAGCTGGGTGTCTGGCGTTGGGGCTGCACATCACTTCACTACCTTCCATTCTCGTATATTTGAATCCAATATCAAAATGGAATAATAGACATTTTTTTAGAGGCTCTTTGTCATATATACGGACAAGTCCACACACAAGAAATCCACACAAAGAGCCTTTGTTTTTTTTTTTTTTTCAAAACGGTTCCACAGGAGACAAACACCAGTCATGACGAGACAACCTTGAGTCAATCTGCTAATTATAGTATAATATACAAGAAATCCCGAGAATACATGTAATCGGCGTTACCGAAGATCACAGCCGGCGTCGATAGATAGGTAAGGTAGGTCGGTAGTAATACAACATCCGGAACATAACAGTTTGGTAGAAATACAATCCCCCGATGCAATCACAAGTGGTAGAGTACAGGACAGTCATCGAGGTCCATCATATAAGTAAGAAAGAAATAAAGAAAGAAAGAGATTCATAAGTCAGGTATCGTCGTGGATTCAGAACAAGAGGCATGAGGAGCGAGAACAAGGAGAGGGAGCGGCTAGGCTGGCTGACTGGCTAGACATTATCAATATCCGTCTGGCGCCCGCGTCGCAAGCCCAACATCCCCATTCCCAAGAAGTGTCTGCCACCTGCGTCCGACACTCTCCTGGTCCCTGCCCAGCCGGCGCGCACACTCGCCCCACTCGCGCCGCGAGAGCCGGAAGGTCTCCAGAACGGTCTCGACGAGCCGCCGGTCGTCCAGCGCGGTCCACAGCTCCCTCTCTAGCTCTGGCTCTGCGTCGCATTCTTCAACGGACGGCAGCGCCGCGTCCGGGTCCGGGCCGATGCGCGACGACTGCGACTGCGACGGCGAAGGGAGCAGCGTCAGCGGCTCGGCGCCGTCGGTGAACTCCTGCCGTCGGCGCTGCGCGGGCGAGGGCGGTGACTGGCTGATGGGCGGGGAGTAGAGGGCGTAGAAGTCCGATTGCGACAGGCCCAGTGGGAGATCGGAGGGGACGGAGCGGCGGCGTTTGGGGGTGGAGATGCGCGCGCGCGGAGTGTGGGGTTCCGCGGGACTGTCGATGTCGCTAGTGCGCTCGGCTTCGTAGCTGTCGCGCGTGCGCTTGTTGGCGCCGCGAGGTCGGGGGGGTTGTTTGGTTTTCGAGAAGGAGGAAGAGGGTTGCGAGCGTTGCTTCCGCGAGCAGGTGGAGGATGTGGTTGACGGGGGTGCTGTGAGGGTGAAGGGGCTCTGGAGACGCGCCGGCTTCTCTTGTCGCGGAGAGGGAGCAGGCGAGGCATTGAGAAGAGACTGGAGGGCGCGACATGTTCCTAGCAGTCCGTTGCCTGACCGGAAGAAATCATCGTCGGACGGGGGAGGAGTCGAGAGCAAGCGGCTGGGTATGAGGTGCGACCGACTCGAGGGGTGTCGCACGTCGCAGGGAAGCGCGGATGGGAGCAACATGATTGCGCAATGGATATTAGAGGGCGCGATACTCGTAGGTTTGAAGGATGGAACCGATGAAGCTGGTGGTGGTGGTGGAAGAAATTGTTCGCGACGGTGTTGGGTGCGCGCGCAGAGGAATGCGCCAGCGCGCGGTATTTTGCGCCGGGGGAGGTCTGATTGGGGGCAACACGAGCGATGGGAATCAGAATGAGAGTATTGTGTATTTCGAAATAGGCGCTTTCGATTGAGATAGATTCTGAGGGATGCAATGCGTTGGTGGATGGGCGAAGTGATGGGTTGATGGTGTTGAGAAGGAGAGAGTGTGGGAGTTTGTAATAAAATTGGGGGTTCAAGTGGGAAAAAGGAGTGACAAGTGGAAGTGCCGCAACCGGCGATGGAACTCTGGAATGGATGGAATGAATGATAGGTATAGTTGCACTGGTCTTTACCAACCACTGGCTTTGCACTCGGGTTAATTATAGAAAATTTCAGAAGACCAAAAAAAAAAAAAAAAAGGAGTCTGCAGAATCTATCTTCACGCTTCTTCAGAAATACTTCAAAGAGATTGAGTCAGCGTCTGTGTGGAAGAAGAACAAAGACAGACTGTCTCTTCCCTCTTCTTTCTTTCTTCTCAAAGGAGTCTTTAAACTTATGTTGCAGGGGTCACAACTCTTAAGTGGTTTCGCCCTCTATGTTCTATTGACTTGCCTCGACTTTGTACTCTGTCTACAAGCTCTGTCGACTTGATTGACTCCCCACTGAGACACGAGGAAGAGGGATGAGCTGATCGTGCCTTGCATTATGACTCCCTTCAACAGCGCCTCTCTGGTCTCTTGCCAATGAAAAGACACGCCATGGAGTCATTTTGCCATCCAAAGCCAATGAATAGTGCATTTGATCCTGACTGTCCGAGATCTCCGGGAACACGCTCCCACCGGATGATGAGCACTGCATATGCAGCAGGCATACATCTACGCGGCCTTGATATTGAGCCGTTCAAGCTTGATATTACCCCCCTAGAACACGAAGGATTGGGGTTCTACGGGATCAGAGATCAATTGAATATTTTCACGCAGATGCAACTCAGTTGTATCAAAGGTCTGTCTCAAGTTCTCAACACCTAGTTCACTTCTAAGGGTCAACCACCCTCCATTCTCTCCCTCTGTAGAACGTCCTTCGATCCATCTCAACCCGCTCCAGCAGTAGTATTAAAGGCTGCCTTGATCCTGTAAATCACTTGAATCTCCATCTTTTTTATCCGTCATCCATCTTATGACCTGCATTTTCGCTCTTCCAAATGGACCGGATCGCAGGTCTGGATTGGCAGAACGAGTTTCTTGATCAGGCAATATTGAAAACGCGACACGAGCGCGTTTTTACGTGTCAAGTTCGCGTTTCGCGTCGGCCAATCGAGACCCACCGCTGCTGCCTCAGGTTGCACTGCAGCCTTAACTCAACAGTCATGATGATGCATCATGATGGACCATGCCGAAACATCGCTCTACGGATTGTACCCCAAACGGCATACGCCACTGGCAGTCACGAACGGATGGAACCTGCGCTCCTGCAAAGGTCCCTTTCCCCTCAGACCATCCCATCTTATCAGAGATAACGATAGGGACTCTGCGATACGGATGAGATGCACCCACTTCCAGCTCTCTCTCAGTCTCATCGCGTCGGCCCACATTCTTGACAGTGGACATCGACCCATAACCTAAACCTTGCAAATGAGCTGGCACCACATTCGCGCCCTACCCCCAGACATTGGCGTTCTTGTTTGTGGCGGGGGACTCTCCCTTTGTCCCCTTCAGCCCTGTGTTTCACTAAGCACAGCCCGCCGGGATTTCATTGAGTGGAATCTAGGGACATCCATCCGGTTCGAGATTCGGATGCCTTAGTCTCTACAACTCGGGAGTCGTGCGTGCACGGGGTGTCAGACATCCCTTGCGTCAACCGTCCTCATGCGAACATGTTCCCGCCACATCAATCAAGCCTGCATCATCTCGGGGAGGCGCGCGATTATCCTCGGGGCTATCGTGCATGTGTACGCGTATCGTGCATGCTGAAGCCGCAGTGGAATAGCTTTACGGAGTTCCTTTTATGTCTGTATTTTCAAACGGATGGGGCATCCCAGGATAAACACCGAACACCGAACAGAGGACAGAGACTGATCAAAGATCAATTTCAGCATATACAACAGAGGACTCGCAGGCGTGTTTCATGTCATGTCATTGAACCACACTTGTCCCTCCCTCCTTGAGATCCCCCCTTCTTGAGACAACTAATGGAATGTATCCTAACAGCGCAGCGATGTGGATGCTCAGTAGAAAGGTACTTTGTCGCCTCGAGGCGCCTCGGCCTCACGAGGATACCGGAATATGCAAGGGATGCAAATACCGACACGGCTCTATCTGTAAGTCTCTCAGCGAACAGTGGGTCCGGTTCTCAGGCCAGGAGCACGAGGACGCATGACAGTGCAGTTGCATGCAACAGTGCGATTTGACAGAATACAGAGCGGTTGCCTCGCACTCTACTATTCCACCAAATTTTACGTCGAAGACTCGAGACCTGGCCTTGTGCATATCGCACCCTCGATGGAGAGGTGGGCGCAGCCAGTGAACCAGCCCATCTACGCAGTCAGAAATGCGTGGCTTCAACACGTTGTTGCTTGCTTAGAGTCTCCACCCTGCTTTGGAGGATTTCTGCATCTCTTTCTTTCTTTGTGCCATGGCAGCCACAAGGATGGTCCATGGGCTTTGCACTTGATTGCCATGCCATGCCTTGTGCACAAATCCTTGCAGTTGACCATCAATTGTCGAGACGCCAGTCTAGGATCTTTGCCCTTGAATTTTCTTGTTGGCTTGGAGTACTAGGCCTGTTCTAACAAGCTGCCAGGATGAGAAAGTGTCCGAGTCACACGATGGTTGATCCTCTTCGTTGTGGCTAGCCCTTGGGTATCCCTTCTTTCGAGGCTTACAGCTCTACGAGGTAGGGAGGCTGCACCCTTGATTTTAGAAGCGTAGATGGTAAGCATCTCTGTTTCTGACAGTTTGCAGCTGTTTCAAATAAAGCATTGAGTCCGGTAAGAAGTGGCTACGTTTAAAGAACTGGGTTGCTTATGTAGTACGCCTAAGTAAAGTTAAGCATCTTTCGAATTAGATGGATTATTATTCCGAATACTATCTCACAGAACTTGTAAACTTGGAGAGTATATAGATATTCTTTGTGACGGTGAGCTTATTAGCTCTCTTATGACTACACTCCCCCTCGGCCATTTTCTGAACTCATCAATCGTCCTGGTTACACCCAGTCCTTTAAGATATCTGTGTCGTGGATCATGTGCTACCGCTTCCCCATGTTGCTATTACTAACTTCCTCATAAACTTCGTCCTCTTTCTCGTCCCACGTATTCTGAGGGCGTCCAACCCTTGTTGGGTGGCGATGGAATGTCCATGATCCTGGAGAGTCCTTGTGCGCCATGCATTCTCAAGCACGGATGGCCATTGAGGCTGTCAAGCATGGAATACTTCTATGGTCAGGTGGCATGACCTGTGATGTCCACGCAGACCGGTCAAACTGCTCACTACCGCTTGTGCTTTGAGTGTAGGATTTGTCGTAGAATAATTCTGCCATTTGGCGATGATGAGCGGCTTCAGGTGTCTCCAACTCATTATCAACCGTCTCTTTGCTTTCTCCTGAATGCAAGTTACTTCTCTGGCAATGATGCGGTGGTAGTTCGGGGTCCGACAATGTAGGAGACAACGCGGTATGGTTTTCAGCCGATGGCGACTGCTCTGAAGAATCTGACGGGCTACTGGTTATCGAAAAACCCATCATCTCAACGGCCCCTGTATCTATGTGCAGTTCGTCGCCCTCTCCGCCTAACTCAGGATCGAGTACTGAATCATCTTCACAATGCTGCGCATTATTGCGGCCGTCAATAAGGCTGCGAAGATCCACCATCAAAGGTTGCTTTGGCTCTCGAAGCTTCCAATCTCTAGTGGAGCGTTTGTAAAGTGCCTCAAAGGCTTCTTTATGAGAGGGATTGGTGAACCAGCAGTGACCCAAAGCCTGCTTCACGTCCATGCGCTTGGCCTCGTCGAATATCAGGAGTTGAAGGACAAAGTCTTGGGCTCGCTTGCCAATGTTATTACATGAGAGGTTTACCTCTAAGGCTTTGAGTGCGCCTTGCTGAGCAATATCAGGAGCTTCAGCGTTGGGAAATGGCTCACTAAAAGCAGGTTCTCCAGTAAGGAGAACAGTTGTTAAGCATCCCAACGACCATAGGTCGACGGCTTTCGTATAACCTTGTCCACTGCGAATCAGTAGTTCCCTACCCGGATGTTAGTATTGACCATCAAAAGAAAAGAGGAACTTGTCATCGCTCACGGAGCACTATAGTCATAGGTGCCTATTTTGGTCGACATTCTTTCGATTCTTGGAGGTACTAGTCTGGCACATCCGAAATCCGTAAGAATGACCCTACTTCCATCTGCCAGGGACGTCATGAGAACGTTGTCTGGCTTCAGATCTCGGTGGACGATGTTCTGGCCATGTAGATAGTCCAATGCCAGGAGAACCTGCCGCACAATGACAGCCGCCTCGACGTCACCCAGTTTTCCACCTTTGTATTGGATGAATGAGAACAGATCTCCGGCTGTCACCAAATCTTGAAATAGATAGCTGATCTTCTCAGCATAGATTAGAAGCCAGTTGGGGAAGATATACTCACATGGTGTTGCTGGATCTGATCACCCTCTCCACGCTGATGATATTCGGCTTCTAGCTATCAGCACCTGTCTAAGATAGGGACCATGATCATCACATCACGTACGTGGCAGAGTCTCGCCAGAATGTTTACCTCACGACCATATACCTCGAGCTTTTCCTGAATCTTCCGTGAAATGTACTCATCACTCTCCCGGGCAGCGAGAACACGGTTCGTTCTTTTTGCGAAGAACCTTGACGTCCATTGCTGACACTCTTCAATCACCGTCTCCTTCAACCTCCGCAGATCAATAATCTTGCATGCAAGCTGCTGACCGGTTTGCTTATCAAACGCCATATGCACCTTCCCGTATGCCCCAGAGCCCAGTTTCCGCTGCGTGATCGTGTACTGATCCTCGAATACCTATCAGGGTCAGCTGCTACCCCGCTCACTGAGGCTTGATGGTATTTACTCTCATCTCAACCGTCTGTAGCATGTCAAAGTGGTTCTCGTCTTTGTGGGCCTCACGCCGGTACAGTAGGTGGAAATCCGGTGATAGCTTCAGAACGTCCCCATCACTGAGAAGGAAGCTTCCGTTTCCTTTGCCCATGGGATAGTTGTTCCATGAGGTACCGTTGAGTGAGATGTCCTGCGCGTATACCAATGGAGCGACTTCATCGGGGTTGTCTCGGTCGAAGATGATGGTATAGATGCGGAGATGGCGGTTTGAGACAACCGGATCGTTGACGACGTATTGACTGTTGGTGACAGTTAGCGTGGATTGATAGAAGTGGGAGGGAATGTGGTAATTGCCATCGCTTCTTGTCTCGGCCGATGCATATCTCCTCATGGCTATAGATGTTGAATGGATTGCCAGCATTTCCAGTTCGTGGGTTCCATTCAAAGAGTGTGCCGACGAAACACCTCGGAGCTGTGGTGGGTGAAAGTTGCAGATCAGACATGGTTGTAGATAAGGATACTAGACGATAGAATGGCGCGATGGTGTGGAATACAGATGGTAAGCTAGAGTAAGGATATGGTCCGGTGTCGATGGGAAGGTGTAAACTTATCCCAGACCATTCCCATTCCCATCTCTCACCATATCCTGCTGCTGCTACTGCAGAGCACTGAACGCTACCTACAATACGAAAACAGACCAGGCTGCGGTTCAAGCATGACTCTTCGTTTCATTCATCTCTATTTCATACAGGACATAAATAGTTTGTTTGCAGATCATTTCCAATGAGCACCGCTCCATTCAAGCTCACTGGTTACCTTGCATCCTCCGGAGCCGTTCCTCAGCTGCTCTTGCGCGACGCTCTCTCTCTAACCTCATCCTCATCTCTGGTGTCATGCCTCTCATTTCTTCCTCCCTCTTCTCAGAAGCTGTTTTCTCTAGAGCTCCTAACGTCCGACCACCGGCTTTTCTTGCTTCCAGTTGAGAGGCTGCTCTCGCAGCTTCCTCCTTCTTCAGCCGATCCAACTCGGCTTTGCGCCTATTGGATTCTTCCTGCTCGGCGGTCTTGCGCTCATTCTGTGCTCGGCTATCCACTTCTGCCTTGGAGACTGCCGTTGGAACCTTGGCAGCGTCCCAGTCCCATTTGGATTCCCCAAGCTCGTGACGCGCGATACGGAACGCATCGCGAGTTGCTCGGTCGCCGGCGAGCTCAAAGGGGGTCCTTCCCTCACCATTGGTGACAGTGGGATCAGTTCCGAGCTTGGTGAGTAGCGCCAACACTACTGAGGCGGAGTTCAGGTTCGCCGCAAAATGCAGCAGAGTAGGACAGCGAAAATTCTGTGGGGAATCCGACGGACGAAAGGTGAAAGACGGTGGGATGGTGTTTTTCGAGAGATATGACATCATGGCGGGGATCTTGGAGCGTCGTATCAGGGCTTGAATTTGTGATGTATGCAAGATAGTCTCTTCATCCTCTTTCGACAACTTCGGCTTCTGAGGTTGCGGTCGTTGAGTTGGAGGTTTTGCCGCTTCTGCTCGCTGCTTCGCCTCCGCTGCCGCAAGAGCAGCCTCATCGATCTGGCTCACTTTGACCCGGGTGAGTTCTTTGAAGCATCTCATGAGCTCACCTTGTGTGGCCCGGCGAGTACTGAATGGGAAACCTCGTATTCTAGGATCATTCTGTCTCAGAAATTGGCCTTCATATTGGCCAAACAGGATTTTCCGGTTTGTATTGCCAGTTGCACGGATGAACAATAGCTGCGCATCATCGATCATCTGCTTCCAGTCTCTCATGAGCTCTCTGATCTCTTTCTCGAGTGCCGCTTCGTTATACCGTCGTAGACTGGAACCCGCCGAATGCGCCGCCCCGCGAGCAGCATCACTAGCCGATTGAGAGCCACCCTGTTTCCGTCTTGTTGTATAACGATGGAACGTCTTGTGCGCAATGACGCGGGCCTGTCGCTCCTCAATGCCGCCTTGCTTCCGATGGATCTCAGGGGCCAAGGAAACCAACATGGCAGCAAAATGACCACCTCCGATCATGCACATGAAGATGTGTGGACTGGATGCTGCTGGGAGTCCTTGTGGTTGTCCATTCGGCCTTTGCACGTGAATGGGAGACACCTGCTTCTTTCGTAACGAATCAACGAGGTGCTTGGGTTCGTCTTGCTCGACAGTCGAAAACAGGGCTCTGTAAATGCCCAGTGATATGTTCGATGGCAATACGGAGCTGGAAAACCAGAAGAGAGGGTTCTTGCCGGCTGCTTTTTTATCTGTTCGCTCCTCTGCCTCCTCGGTGTCTTGGGATATCTTGGCCTGCTTTTTCAGCAAGGTCGAAAGCTGATCACCTCCTTCTTCCTCTTCCTCCTCCGACGACTCGGATCCGGATATCGACTCGTCCAACTCTCCAATCGCTTTGTTAAATTGTACCTCATCTAGCGTAGGATTGCCCCTCAGTTGTGACTTGATGTTGTATCGGTGATGATCCGAGCGAACGTGAACACGTTGCTCTTGTACATTGAGAAACGAGACTTTGCAGAGTGCGCAGGAGGTCGAAGTCGCGATCGCGGGGTCCACTGCCGTTACATCAAGGGGCTCGCTTGAAGATTCAACATGATCCGGGAGAGAGATGGAATGTTCTTCGCCCTTGGTGGCTAATGTTGAGAGAAGTTCCTGGGGTAGATCAAATGCTGGAGAAGTGAGTAATGGATATCTGGAACAAAGATGCGGAAGGAGCGCTCACCATATAATGGCCTTTTTAGCAGCTCCTCAACCCAGGGAGTATCAGCGACCATCTTGACGTCAAGTATTCAGTGGGTTGTTGAAAGATTGTTTGGTTGGGGACACCAAGATGCGGCGAAACTGGGACCCCTCTATAACAGCTTATGGGGGGGTTTACCGCCTTCGATGTGGGGCTATCGCTATACTATCAACAACGCTTCGAAGTAGCCCTGAAGTCGTATGGTGAATGATTATAGAACTCGATTTCTAGGAAGAACGTTCGGGGATACTCTGAGCCTCATATCTCCATATCTACTTACTGAGGATCTCTGGTTGGGGACCAATTGAGTCATACAGCGCAACGGAGTCATAGTCATAGGTCTAAGCCTTCTAAGTCAGCAATGACTCAAAAGGACCTAGATCCAATTAATAATAGCATGAAAATGATCTGCGTAATTCCTAGTTGACTAGGTCTCTAGGCTATCTCCATGCAGTGAAATACCATGGCTTTCTTGACAGCAGTCTACACAGTAGAAGAATAATGAGGGATCCTAGGTACTGTGAGTCTGTGGTACAGAGATTTGTCAAACAACGATTCAAGATCGGCGGATCCCACGTGAAACGGCTCAAGATAGCTAGCAATAATTACATCATCCGAGGCTTATCCTAAGCCTTCCAGATAAAAAAAAAAAAGATCAAGAAGGAAATGGTTATGCTACACAGTAAAGATAGCTGCATGAACTGTGTGGAGTTGGGCAGTCCATATACTTACTCTATCCAAACAAAAAAAGAAAATCGCCATCAAATACAGGCTTATCTGAAGGTCATCTCAACTGTGATTGATGGAGAGCACCCGAAGAAAAAGCCATGCCAAGACGCTTTCCCAAACCGGTGGTTCTGCCTTTCTGCCTTAAGGCTCGGAGACCGGAGTTAACGCCACGATGGGGTTTATGTCATACTTGGATACCACTACTGTGTATGCTCCATGAACTACGGAGTATCTACTATGGTCGCACAGCAGGATGGAAAGAAAGAATATCCAGAGGCTTTTTTCCCTCTCATCACCCACTGCGATACAGTCAGCCATATACTGAATCCCAACTTCCCAAGTGAGTGAGTAGCCTAGTGTCATCGAAAATTTGACTATTCCCCGAAACCCCCGGCAAAAAAAAGCTGCGAAGGCCGGATCCTCCTTTAGTAATCAAGCTGCAAGCTACTGCTTACTAGTCACTTATCAACTCAAAACCCCTGCTGTTAATTTGATGAAAGAGGACCCCGGCTCGTATATATTTGTTAATCACGGCTATCTTGGGGGTATTTAATCTCGGTCTTTCTCCTCCATCTCCTTTCCCGCTGCCAGACGGTCCAGGGTAAAATTGGAGTTGGAGTTGTCCGTCCGGAATCCAAGATGCTTGATGGCAATCCCCAGGTATTCCTAGGGAATTCCCACCCGGGACCACTTCCATCGTCGAGCCTGGATTCTTCTTCATTCCATTCATCCTCGAAACACCTCCAGCCCTTCTGTGGAGATGTTGAGGGCTGGGGTCCGATTAGCAAATCCAGATTCGATCTGACACCATGTTTTCTGGATTTTGGAGTCGCTTTGGTTGCAGGATGGGGTGTGCTCATGGGAGCGGGTGCCATATGGTTTCTGCTGAAGAAGCGCGTGCCTCAGCCAGTATCGAAGAATTGGCACTTTTATGCTAAGCTGGTACGTTCGGGTCTGTCTGACCACGATCGCTTTCTAACCATCGTATCTCTGATTGTAGACCGTGCTCTGCGCCCTGATCTTTACAACAGCCCTTCAAGCCGCCATCCAAGCCGAGTCCGCCCCCCGTCTTTTCCTGGCTGATTTTCGCTTTTGGAGCTCCATCCTCGTGCTTGCGTCTCTTGGAGTAATATTTACCGTACAATACTACGAGCACTGGCGCAGTCGACAGCCTAACGGCGTTGTGCTCTTTTATTGGCTCTTCTTCACAATCGCTTATGGTGTCAAGTTGCGGTCGATGGTTGCGCGAAAGACCTATCAGGATCATCTACCATACTTCGTTTGCATCAACGTCAGCCTGGGTCTGGCTCTGTTGGAGTTCGGTCTCGAGTACCTAATCCCAAAGAAACAAAGTGCATACGATGCGTTGGGAGCCGAAGACGAGTGTCCATACGAGTATGCGGATATCTTCTCGGTCCTCACTTTCAGCTGGATGACTCCAATGATGAAATTCGGATACAAGAACTATCTGACCCAGGATGATTTGTGGAATATTCGGCGGCGCGACACGACCCGTGACACAGGAAACACACTGGAAGAGAAATGGGCACAAGAGTTGAAGAAGTCCAAGCCGTCCCTGTGGCTAGCACTGATAAGGGCCTTTGGCGCACCGTACTTTCGCGGTGCGATTATCAAATGTGGAAGCGATGTCCTTGCTTTTGCCCAGCCGCAACTCCTGCGGCTGCTGATTCGTTTCGTCGATTCGTATCGGACCGAAGAACCGCAGCCGGTGATCAGAGGAGTGGCCATAGCGCTGATGATGTTTCTGGTCTCAGTAACACAAACCCTCTGTCTTCATCAGTACTTCCAGAGAGCGTTTGACACTGGTATGCGTGTCAAGTCAGCACTGACTGCCATGATTTACTCCAAGTCGCTGCGGCTTTCCAGTGAAGGCCGTGCGTCCAAGACGACTGGTGATATTGTCAACCATATGGCTGTTGATCAGCAGCGATTGTCTGATCTAACACAATTTGGCATGCAGCTGTGGTCCGCTCCTTTCCAGATCACTTTGTGCATGTTATCGCTTTATCAGCTGGTCGGTGTAAGCATGTTTGCCGGTATCGGTGTCATGATTCTCATGATCCCGCTGAACGGTGCCATCGCCCGAATGATGAAAAAGCTTCAAATCATACAGATGAAGAACAAGGATTCGCGATCCAGATTGATGACAGAAATTCTGAACAACATCAAAAGCATCAAGCTTTATGCCTGGAACACAGCCTTTATGAATAAGCTTAGCCACATCAGAAATGATTTGGAACTGAACACCCTTCGCAAGATCGGAGCCACTCAATCCATTGCCAATTTCACCTGGCAATCCACTCCGTTCTTGGTCTCATGCTCTACCTTTACTGTCTATGTTCTGACGAGCGACAAGCCGCTGACTAGCGCAGTGATGTTCCCAGCGTTGACCCTGTTCAATCTTCTCACCTTCCCACTATCCATTTTGCCAATGGTCATCACTTCCATTATTGAAGCTTCGGTGGCTGTCAAGCGTTTGACCGACTACTTTACGGCCGAGGAACTGCAAACTAATGCTGTTACAGTCGAGGACTCGGTCACTCATCCTGGGGATGAGTCGGTCCGTGTCCGCGATGCTGCATTCACTTGGAACAGATATCAGGGCGACAGTGTGATTGAGAACATTGATTTCAGCGCCCGAAAGGGCGAGCTCAGCTGTATCGTGGGTAGAGTCGGTGCCGGCAAGTCTTCGTTCCTTCAGTCGCTGCTCGGTGATCTGTGGAAGACCGAGGGTGAAGTAATCGTCCGAGGAAGTATTGCGTATGTTGCACAACAGCCCTGGGTGATGAATGCCAGTGTCCGAGAGAATATCGTTTTCGGACATCGGTGGGATCCCCAGTTCTATGATCTTACGGTCGGGGCATGTGCTCTGCTTGACGATTTCCAGAACTTGCCAGACGGTGATCAGACAGAAGTTGGAGAGAGGGGAATTTCCCTCTCTGGAGGTCAAAAGGCTCGGTTGACTCTCGCTCGGGCGGTTTATGCTCGCGCAGACATATATTTGCTGGATGACGTGCTATCCGCAGTTGATCAACATGTCGGTCGCCACCTCATCAACAAGGTTCTTGGACGAGATGGTCTTCTGAGCGGAAAAACTCGGATTCTGGCCACTAACGCCATTCCCGTCTTGAAAGAGGCGGACTTCATTGCTCTACTGAGAAACAAGACTCTTGTCGAAAAGGGCACCTATGAACAGCTGATGGCCATGAAGGGCGAAGTCTCGAGCCTTGTCCGCACGACCATGAACGAGTCTGAAGACGAAGGCTTCGGTAGTGATGGCAACGATCTAGCTAGTCCCGAGAGCTCAGAATCCAATACCGTGATTGAGAATCCAGATTCCGAGGTCTCGGACATTGAAGCCGAACAAGAAGTCGGCTCCCTCCTTCCGATCAGATCCGCTGCCGAAACTCGGCGGAGAACCAGCACCGTCACTCTGCGACGTGCTAGCGCAGCCAGCTGGCAAGGCCCTCGCCGTAAGCTCGGCGACGAAGAAAACATCCTGAAGAGCAAACAGACACAGGAAACATCGGAACAGGGTAAAGTCAAGTGGAGCGTCTACGGAGAGTACGCGAAGAACAGTAACATCGTCGCTGTCTGTTTCTATCTTCTCGCACTGTTTGGATCGCAAACGGCGCAAGTCGCTGGTGGTTTCTGGCTCAAAAGATGGTCCGATATAAGCGAAACACAGGCGCACCCGAATGTTGCCAAATTCATTGGTGTTTATTTGGCATTCGGACTGGGCTCGTCCCTTTTGGTCATTCTTCAGAATCTGATCCTTTGGATCTTCTGCTCGATTGAGGTATGTGTGCCGATGGCTCAAAATAAGACAGCTATTCTAACGTGGTCAGGCTTCTCGAAAACTCCACGAACGTATGGCATTCTCCATCTTCCGCTCTCCTATGAGCTTTTTCGAGACCACGCCATCCGGACGAATTCTCAACAGATTTTCGAGGTACGTTATAGATGCATATACCGTTGATTGGAGGCTTACGAACTTTCAAGTGATGTGTACCGTATCGACGAAGTCCTTGCTCGCACCTTCAACATGGTATGTCTTAGCATGTACGCCTTTATCATCCTCTGCTGACATTCAACCAGCTGTTCAATAATTCGGCGAGGGCAATCTTCACCATGATCGTTATTGCGAGTTCAACTCCTGCTTTCATTTTGCTGGCTTTCCCCCTAGGCTACGTATATTTCAGGTATCAGAAATATTACTTGCGGACATCTCGCGAGTTAAAGCGATTGGACAGTGTCACCAGAAGTCCCATCTATGCGCACTTCCAGGAGTCCCTTGGCGGTATATCGACCATCCGGGCATACAGGCAGCAGGATCGATTTACTTTGGAGAACGAATGGCGTATGGATGCCAACCTTCGTGCCTATTTCCCATCTATTAGTGCGAATAGATGGCTTGCTGTACGCTTGGAGTTCATTGGCTCGGTCGTTATCCTGGCTTCCGCGGCACTGTCCATCGTCTCTGTGGCTACTGGTAGCCTTCTCTCTTCAGGCATGGTTGGTTTGGCCATGTCGTATGCTCTCCAGATTACCCAGTCGCTGAACTGGATCGTCCGGCAGACCGTCGAGGTAGAGACGAACATTGTGTCTGTTGAACGTGTTCTTGAGTATGCAAACCTACCTAGCGAGGCCCCAGATGTGATCTTCAAGCATCGTCCGGCGATTGGGTGGCCTGCACAAGGAGCAGTGACGTTCAAGGACTACAGCACACGGTACCGTCCCGGATTGGACTTGGTGCTCAAGGACATCAACCTCGACATCAAGCCCCACGAGAAGATTGGCGTGGTTGGCCGCACAGGCGCAGGAAAGAGCTCGCTCACTCTCGCGCTGTTCCGTATCATCGAGGCGGTCAATGGCGGCATAAGGTGAGCACTGCTGCCCAAGATGGCTGCTCCGTTGCGTTTGTCTAACGTCTTTGCAGTATTGATGGGCTGAATATCTCTACCATTGGTCTGTCTGACTTACGGGGGCGACTTGCCATCATCCCCCAGGATCCCGCGATGTTCGAGGGTACTCTACGAGACAACTTGGATCCCCGCCATGTGCATGATGACACAGAACTCTGGAGTGTACTAGGTACGTTGAGGCCCAAAACGAGGTGCACCTTGAACATTGATTGACTCGTGATCATGTAGAACATGCGAGACTAAAGGATCACGTCGCCCAAATGGACGGTCAGCTGGATGCTCAAATCCAAGAAGGAGGTCAGTCCTACATTGCCACCGCCGTGCCTGCTATCGGCATCCTTACAGTCGGTCGGGGGCCCGAGTGCTAACCATGCCTGTGACAGGATCTAATCTTAGCCAAGGCCAGCGCCAGCTGGTATCTGTTGCGCGAGCATTGCTGACACCGAGCAACATCCTGGTCCTCGACGAAGCAACTGTAAGTGGCCGTTGATCACACCGGTTCTTCTTGTGTTGGCACTTTTACAAGGGAGCCTTGCTAACAGCAACGTCCAGGCGGCGGTCGACGTGGAAACGGATGCGCTACTCCAACGCACATTGCGCAGTAGCATCTTCCAGGAACGCACTATCATTACGATTGCGCACCGTATCAACACGATTATCGATTCTGACCGAATCGTGGTGCTCGACAAGGGCCGGGTGGCAGAATTTGACACACCTGCGGAACTGATCAAGCGTGGCGGCAAATTCTATGAGCTGGTCAAGGAGGCCCGGTTGCTTGATAATGATGGAGCAGCGCTTGTGCAGTGAACCAAAATTTCCACCCACCCAGATTAAATGAACGTTGTGACTGGTTAGGGGAACCGGAAGACTCCTTCCCAGCTCGGGCCGATCCCTATTGAGTCTGGACTATTGTAGGGGGTTGAAATTTTCTGTTCTTTTCTTTTCTTTTCTTTTCGTTTCCTTCTCCGGGGAGTGGGTGGGTGTGTGTGTGTGGGTGTGGGTATGGGTATGGGTGTGTGTGTACTGTGAGTCTATGTGGGAGGCGCACTGTTTCAGCGACTCGAGGACGTACAGCTCTTGGTCTCTCATCGGTGGCATTCGCCGCAGGTTTGATCTGTAACAACGTCTGTGCGCGTGGATGAGGGGTCTTCCTTGAAGGCTGTGAATGATCGATCACAGATCTGAGACAGTGCGATCAGAGGAATCCTGATTCGCTTCCTGTTGGAGGGGAGTCTGTTCCGGTTCTAGAAGGGAGCCGAACCTGGGGGGGGAGAGAGAGGGAGGGAATCGTCTGCAGCAGAGAGGCGAATCCGAGAGGGCAAAAACCGGAACAAACAAGATATTGAGTCCTCTCTGCCTCTTTTCTTCCTTGTTTACTACATCTACCAAGAACAAAAGCGTCATTACGGAGTATATTCAGAAATGTGTATAGAAGAAGTGATGGGGGAATAGCCCTGATTGCATATAGCCCTCTAAAAAGTTGATTCCAAAAGGCCACGCACCGGGGAAGAAGTTTGTACAGAGTAGCGGTGTAGGGAAGCACCTGGGAGAAGGCATGCAATTATCTGCACGTCGATGACTGGCGCGCAACGACCGTCTGTCAGTTGTCAGCAGGATGACAGTAGTAGTCGTAGTAGTCGTAGTAGTAGTCGTCTATGCATGGCTCATGTCATTCATAATTCATACTCCCATGGCCCCATGGGAGTACGTACATAGTACTACATAGACCACCACCTTGAACAATATGCGCTGAGCACTTGAGACAAGCGTACCAGCCACCAAAGAGCTGATTCGGATTCCACGTTTCTCTCTCTTTCCCTCTCTTTCTGTCTCGATTAAAAATTCCAACTACCCCGCCAGAGAAAGGTCAAAGGACGGGATTTTCGAAATTTTCTCCCAGTCATCTGTCCGGTGGAAGGTGTTGTCTTTACCTTGGTCTGGGAGTTTATTTAACTCACTTCGTAGAAACGCGTTCACCCCTCTAACTATCTCCCCCCTCTCCGTCGTCACTCTCTGCGATGATTCACTCTCGGCTTTACAGAGAGTACTTCAATGGCGGTTTTAGATAACCCCTCCCTGGCAAGAGGCGAAAGAGAGTAAAACTACTATCATATCCCTCTCCTTGCATTCGGCGCTTACGACCAATGAAGATCCACAAAACATGTGGTGATTTTTCTAGCTTGACGCCCTCTCCTTCTCTCTCCATAAGGGTCGTATGGTATGGGAAGAGGTAGCGCAGCAGTCTCAATGTTTTTTTTTTTTTTTTAGACCCCGGAGTGTACTTTCGTCTTTTATAATGGATGATGGATGACGATGACGAGCAAGATCTCGCATGGATTCTAAGCGGGTGGGGGGTTCTTTGTTCGTAAGTTAAGTAGACATCTAAGGTAAGGTATATCTACCTAGGTACTGTAGCTGTATGTATGGATGTATGTACGTACTTGCTTTAGTTTTGGTTTCAGATTCAGATTCAGATTCAGATTTAGATCTTGCAGGGAGCGCGAAGACCCATGGCATGGGGAGAACCTGGTTTCCGGGTTGAGAGGTTCATGAGTGGGAGATTTTGGTTTGAATTTGATCGAATCTCGGGGCGAGAATGGGAAGTTGGAAGGTCAAGGAGGGGGGGGGGGAAGGGTTGATATCCACATGGGCATTGCTGTTTCTGGCGATGTGCAGGCGGGAGAATCGGTTCGTGGAGGATGGAAGGAGGAGAGGAGGAGAGGAGGGGAGGAGGGGAGGGAGGGAGATGGAATTGGTAGGTAGAGGAGACTATGTAGTATGTATATGTCTCTCTGTTATTGATTCTTGGACAATGAATAAATGGTCTTGTTGAATTTTGTTTTTTTTGTTTTTTTTTTCCGGATGATGCTCCAGCTCCGGTGTCCAGCATCTACCATCAAAGCGCGGGTACTTGCTAACTACCTATACTCCGTACAAGCTCTCTCAACGCTCAGGCCGTTGACTGTCCCTCAAACTTGACGTCGACTAATGAGACCTGTCGACAAGCTATCCAAGAGGATAACCTTCCCAGCCGCCGTGGTTGATGATCGCCAAGCATCTTCCTTGCGTTGCTGCTCGCATGGACTAGTCCCAGTCGATCTTGAAAACCGACTGTGAAATGTGAATCCCATCTGTAGGTAGTCCAGACTCCAGAGTCCAGACATACTGCAGGGTCTGAACGCTGGGGTTTTGTGCGACCACAACGAACATTTAAAGACTTGTATTTTATTGTATTTTCTTTTTCTTTTTATTTCCCTTCTTAAGTCAAGTCAATAATCAGTACTTCGAGTCGAATATTGTTTTTTTATTTATTTATTTTTTTTTTGTCGTGATTCTTCGCAGTATTCTACGGTTTCTACGAGTGACTTGCAGACATAGTCGATGGGTCCTGACAGCTGGCAGTGATCGATTTGTCCATCTGTCTTCAGCCACTGGATTCTGTGGATCTCACAACTACGACACAGTAACTAATCCACATATGACTTGTTATCTATCTAACGGAGTCGAAGTTGAAGGGCAAAAAATAAAAATAAAAATGGAGAGTCTCAGATATACGAACATGTTTGATTGACATACAGCAAGCATGAGGATGGAGAACGAGATAGGGTTGCTGATGCCAGGGGCCCTCACTTACCACCCGGAAGTGTATTCCATCATGATGGACAATGATGGTCGCTTTGGTACTTCGGTCAGAGCCCCATATCCCGGAGTCAAAAACACTTCTGCAGGCCGATCATTCAATCCATGGAAAATAGTCTAATCCATATCAGTCTCGATGGCCGTCCTCATCGCTAAATTGAGCTGTATTTCCGTCCTCGCATTGTCGGAATCCATTCCCCCAGAGGCTGTTCCTGGAAATCTTCTCAGCCCCCGTCTGCAGAGGACTTTTTTCTTCGTCTTGGGGGTTGATCCACCGGGGAGATTTGATCGTTTGACTGACTAGGAAGGAAGTCCCAATATCCAAGTAGTTGACCCATACAAAGCTGTGAGCTGTCCTGAGTTAAGGATGAGGTCCTGGAATAACTTCATGTTGTCGTCTGTTCCACCCCCCCCTTCAACAGGACAATGGATTGGCGATTGCACAATGCACCACAAACTCAAATTCCGCTGCTATCCAGATGACTCGGGTCCATTCCAGTCGGAAAATTTGTTTCCCATGGGCTTCGTTGGACGGCTGTTTTACCGGTTTCAGTAACGTACCTTGATCGATCTGTTGACGGGAGTATCCGGTATGAATGGCGTGTTATCGCTTAGGTTAGAAGCATAGGATGACAGAATATCCCTTGATCGACCTACAGACTCTAGGATATGCTTGTTTACAATACATTTTGATGTTTGGGGATAGATTGCCACTGCAGAATCGCAGATCCAACTGTCGTGTTTTGGAAGAAATCTCCAGCATCCCTGAGTGGGTTTCAAGGTGCACCCTGTTTCCCGAACAATCACCTAGTCTTACACAGGCTCCATCTACTCCATCGCTAGAGCGGCGAAACATCTGAACCACATGCCAGAAGTACTGGAAACTAGCGCGTTGAGCTACAAATGGCCCATGGACCGAGAAGGCTATCGACACACATCGACTGGTGGACGATCCGATCTGACAAGAAACGGAATTCTGGGAATGGCATCCATAGCGTAAAGTTTACCACTTGAATGCGACTCCAGCGTCCAAAGTCCAGCCATACCGACGTAGTAATACTGAGGCAAAAATCTCAACTGTCCCACTTTTCCACAGGTTCGCCGTCTATATACTAGGTAGATACGGAGTAGATAAGCAGTAATGGAACTCATACCGGTACAAAGTAGTACAACCTAAGAGGTGACAGAGAATCTGGAAAGTGGAAGCACGACATCTGCAACTGAAGAAGGATCATCCCTGTTCGCATCTTGCCTCTGCACGAATCATCGCCCGCTCTTCATCTTCTCTGCATATTCCGCGGCTAAACTGGGGACAAATCATTGCGCCTCCCAGAAAGCTAGTTTTATCTGGGAATGCATGCAGGATCCACAGCCGGAGAACCCTTAAGCCCCGGATTGGTCCGGTTGGAAGAAGATGCGTGCAGGGATGGGCTGGGTATTATAGTTGGACGTGGAGTCTGTTTTAACGAGCTAACTACTGCATGTTATCTGACAAGTTGATACGCGATACTACTAAAAGTAGTAGTAGTACTACTCCGTACCTCCATTATGACTCTCCCATACGCGCCTTCGGTGCCAACTGGCAGTGTTGAGCAGAGCTACTGTGCGCGGTTCCATGGTTCACTCGCCCTCCCGAGCATTCCCGCAACTTTATCCCGGCGTTTCTGTTGGTACTACCTGAGAGACTTGATAGAGGGGAAAGTTGATACATAGACTCAGAGCGTCAATTGCACCTTATTACTGATACGACTCTTGTCTTCGTGCGCCGAGGATCATTCATGTCCTGTAACTCCTGTGGAGTGCGTATATCGGAAACGAAATGTCCTCTTTCCTACTACGGAGTAGTACTCCGTAGTTGGCGCCCAGTTCCCCCAACCTCCCCCCCCAAGTCCCCAGTCCCCTGTCCCCCACACGTATGCCTCTGCTGAAGAATTGCAAATCTACTATACATAAGTAGAATGGAGCTCCACCGCCTTATAAAATGTCGTATTAATAGCTAGGTTAGAGAGACAGGCGGATCCTCAGCTCCCATAATTTCTTTTCCCTTTTCCACGGTTCGGTCAATGTGACCCTCTCGGAGAATATCTGCTCAGCGGAGTATTCATCTATCCCCGGGATGGAGACCTCCAATTCGACTCTGTTTCCAGCCATTGACATGTGTCATATGT